CCCTGCATTTCTTTTATTGGTTGGTAGACGTATTCACCTTACCAGGGGTGGGGTTTCTTAGTCTCTGTTTGTCAGTACTGTTATTACAGTCAAACCGTGTGCATGTGTCCATTCGTACTGCGCGGGTTTGAAATAATGCGAACAAAGTGCTGCAATCCCTTTGTGAAACCCAATCGCAGTAAGTACATATTTGAAAAATACTAAACCTACTACAGAAACATTGCAAAAGAAGTGTCCCAACCGCGAGGTGGGAAAGTTTATTTGCTGTAGTTGCTGATTTTGGAATAAACGCCGAGTGGCATTATTTTGCAACATCACATAGCAAAAATGCTAACACTGAGAAAATTAATTTCCAATTCAGGAAATGGTGCTCAAAAAAGTGTCCGATTTCGCGTGAAATGACCCAATATCAAAGTGTAAATATACTGAAATTAATATAAATAGTGGTAAACGATTTATAAAAACCTTTAATATTAATTAATATTAATTTGAAATTCTATTGAATATTTCCTCAAAGTATTGATTTTATAAATTTGATAAATTTCTATTTATGTTGCCCCTTTATTAAGGCAAAAATATTTAAATCAATATATTTAAGAGCAACAATGTATGCTGCATAGCATTTTTTTTTTGCGTTTGCTTACTCACATACGCATTTAATTACTATAATGTGTTAATAATTGTTGTAAAATATTATTTAATGTTGCAAATGGAAAATAAGAAAATTATTTTAAAAACTAAAAAATTTTTAAATGCATCGTCTCCCGATTTGTGACCTAGAAACCAAAATAATATCTAACAAATTATTTTTTTTACAATTACAAAATATTATTGCTATTCATTTCATTAGAAAATATTCATTTAATATGCTGTTACATTTCTCCGGTTCTTAAATTAATAACTTTATAAATTCGATAGTTTAATTTAATTTATTCATTTGTTACTTGTTTTTGCGATTGGTAGCACATGTAGAAACTGAAAATTTACATTTAAAAAACGAATTTACAATATTAGCAGTTGGTACCTATTTTCATGTGTTTTCAATTATCCTCAACAAATAACAAAAATTACTTATCGATAGTAAAAAGTCATTCTGAATTCTGCAATATTTGCGAAATTTCCAGTAGAGAGCGCAGGTGTTTGATCAGGCCGGCGCACAGGAGAGACGGAAGAACATATGTTTAAGTAGTGGCGCATGCGCAATCATTGCTTCCGCGACGTACCTAGCCATCTTTCCAGTCAAGCAAAAGTGATTGTTTTCAGCTTTAGTCTTATTTAACGGAACTTTTATTAATGTCAGAGCCACAGTCCGCGCTTTTACTACGAAAACAATTAGCAGGTATCCAGTAAAAAGAGTATAAGTGCTAAGTGTGATCCGTGCAACGTATTCGAGCTCGACGAAAAGCCGGAACCGTTTTCGTACTCCTAACTCGTGCGACCTCCTCACCGCCGTGTCTCGACCTTCGAGATTGCTTTGTGAACATTTTTTCTTTCGCGATATGAGTTTCGTCGAGATCTTTACGACCTTATCTGACCATCGGTTCGGTCTTTCGTTATCTCACGGTGGCCCTGCGCCCGATTAGGGCGTGAAAATCAATACGGCCACGGAACCGTAGTGTACCTCCCATGAATAACTTTAACCTAGCACTCAGTGTCGCGTTTACCCGTAGCAATACCCTTATCCGATATAAATCTTAACGCTGGTAATTTTCATGTTCACCAAAGCCTGTTTTCGCTGTTACCGAAAATAATTGCAGGGAACGTTATTTATAGCATTTCGCGCGTAAACCTGTAGTTTATTACTTTTGTCGCACGATCGACGCCAGAAGGATCCTCCAAATTTTTACATTGTTTCCATCGTTCCTTGAATTTGATTCCTTGATGGACGGTTGACGTGATCTCTCAAGATTTACGCTTTAAATTTTTACATAGAATACCATGTCAACGCTGACTCACCGTCATTAACTCATGGATGGTTTGACGGTTATTTTGTAAGGTTTGATTTGACCTAACCTGCACGCAATGAATAACAAAAGTGTTCTGTCGTTTTTTTGCAACAAACGTATAGTTTCGTGTTAAGAATGCCTTTTAATGTTTTCATTGTCAACAGGTCAAAGTATGATTAACTGTACTGTGCTTTTTTTTATAAAGAGAATACTTCAGTTTCTTCATACTTTATCAGTTAATGTACTTGTACATTTCATATAAGAGTGCTGTGCATTCAAATTTGATATTGTTATTAGCACTTAAGTTTTTGTTAGATTATTATATTGACATGCAAGACAAAGTGACTTCATCTATATTTTCTTCTGTTTCATAGAATTAAATAAAAACCCAGTAGAAGGGTTTTCAGCAGGCCTCATAGATGACAATGACATATATCAGTGGGAGGTACTCATTATTGGTCCACCAGATACATTATAGTAAGGAATTCATCATATTACATTTGTAATTTAATATCTTTGGTTTTATGTACAAGCATTTTTACAAATATTTTTCATATTTTAGTGAGGGTGGATTCTTCAAAGCACACTTAGAGTTTCCAAGAGAGTATCCACTTAGGCCACCCAGAATGAAATTCATAACAGAAATATGGCATCCAAACAGTACGTGTTATTTTACTAAGTTTTAGTATACATAATGGGATACAACTGAATAATATTTCTCTGTGTTTATAGTCGAGAAGAATGGTAATGTATGCATATCGATTTTACATGAACCCGGAGATGATAAGTGGGGCTATGAAAAAGCTTCAGAACGGTGGTTACCAGTTCACACAGTTGAGACTATTCTCATAAGTGTTATTAGCATGCTTGCAGATCCTAATGATGAAAGTCCTGCTAATGTGGATGCTGCCGTAAGTAAAATTATATGTACGAGTAAAAACTTCTATTATCAATTGATATTGAAATATTGTAAACAATACAAATTAATATAATGCAGAAAGAATGGAGGGAAAGTTATACAGAATTCAAGAGAAAGGTGGCGAGGTGTGTCAGAAAAAGCCAAGAGGAGTGTTTGTAGGTCATGAACAAATATTCAAATGGAAAGACTTATTTAATTCTGGTATGTTTCATATCTACTCAGTGTAAAGTTAAATTTTTCTCCATTACACTTAAATAACATATATATGTCTTACAGGGAAGCCGTAAGCACTGTAAAAAAGAAACCGATGCTCAGCATTAAGCTAAATGAATCACAGTGCCACTAAAAACGGATAAAGCCTGACCCATCCTTATACAGAGTGAGGGAGACAGAGCATGTGTGAAAATAAAAGATAAGTTCACACACCTCTATCAAGTTTATACCACCGCCACTGACGTACCATCCATTGATACGAAGAACATAAAGGAAATACATGCAGCTCACCTTTTACATAATAAACAGCTAAAGAAACTAATTTACACATATACATAAAGCAAAAAATCATCTGTACGATTATTACCTTAATATTGATAGTTAGAAACTTAACTTCCCTGTCCCTCCTGCTCAAGAGCTAGCCCAACACTTTACACCTAAAAAATCTCGTAATTTAAAATGTTTATGTTTATCATCATTGAATAATAATTCCTTAGTGTCGTTTCGTATTTTCTTACTTTCGTAAATATATATAAATAAATTTTTGTAAAGTCGAGTACACGGTACATATATGCTACAATCGTTAATGTAATGCCAGTAACAATGAAAACGAAATATATGTGAATCAACAGTGACACTGCAGCAAACATGTCGATTAAGCTGTACAATCGCAGCTATGTAAAGATAATGTGAAATTTCCGCTGAACCGTAAGTTGCCAAAATAATAAATTCTAATTAAAGTGATAATAATACTAATAATGATGTTACTATTAGAAATATACCATTAATTACAGCTATTAAACATAATGTAAGATTAAGTACACATCGCAAAGACTTTGTACACATTTTTGACCAGTGCCAGTTTGTGAAGTGATCATTCAAATCAACCTTTCTATTGTATTTAAACTTGCGGTTCTAAATCGTAAATATGTTCAAACTTAAATAATTTCTGTCCAACTGCGTATAATTTCATATTGTCAATTAAATTCTACAAGATGAAACATGTCTACGTTGTTGAACCTACTTTCGCACATGCATAAACATTAAACTAAAAAAAAATATATAACAACGAAATAGATTTAACGTTCATTGCTGATATCAGTAGTCACATTTTATATCCCTATCATTTGCTTCGCAAAACAATTAATGTTTTGTGTAGAATTCTTAATTATTTCGTAGACAAGCTTTTTTTGATTGAAGTGAACGTAACTTAAAATTTTATTAACAAATTATTTTTTGTAAACAGTTTCGGTTAACAATTCTTGAGGTTGAAACGTAATACACTATGCTTGTACATTAATTCATGATTTTACAGTAATTGAAGAAATAAAACTACAATTATAAAATTTTTAAAAATGAGCCTATATATTTGAACAAACGTACTGCTAAAAGATATATAGATGTATATAACAATTTATTCACATTCTTGTCCAAAAAATGTATTAGTTGAAAAACTTAAATTATTTAATCATCATTTACAGTAATCAGTATACGCAGGTAGCGTTAAAAACTACATAAAAACATTGTAGATAAAGCTGATAATTAACGACATTGTAAGTTGCTATGAATAATTTGGCAATAAAAGTGTTGATTAGTTTTTTTAATTGAATTTCACTTGATTAATATATATTTATTTCTACAAGTGTAAGTGAATTTATTGTACATACGTATGTATGTACATCTCTATGTATTATGCAGATACTGAAAATACCTAATTTATCGACAATGTTCTCTAAATAAATTCAGTGCCGCGAGTTCAAGAATGTGTTTACATCAAAGGCAATCAAAGTTACGTTATGGGTTAAAGTCGTGCAATACTTATTTGATTTTTTTTTGGAAGATTGAACGTAATTCCTCCATAAAGCTTGAGAATTATTTGAAAAGTCCTTTTGTACACTTCTGCAATAAGTTATCCAGTTTTAAATAGTAGTGCGAAAGAAAATAATAATAAGATTGTATTGCTATGGGTTAGCATCATTTGCGTTGAACTTCATCGTAATTTTATTTATTGATATTCTAAATTTTGACGTGTTCAGCAAATATTTTTGGTTTGTATCGAACCAATTAATTTGTAACTATGAGCGATGAAGAAATTGTTTTAACATTACCTGACACGCAAGACGCAAATTCGGTATGTTTAACTCAATCTCAAGAGGTATCACTGTCGCAAGACAGAACCATGACTGTATGGGGAAGACTATGTCCTATTAAATTACCATTCAAATCTTTGGGTAAATATATATGTATATTCCAGACATTGTTTAATCTTTATGCGATAGTAATTTCTAAGTTTAACAACTGTTTGTATAGAAATGATCAAGAATTGTTATACACTTGGTCGGTCAGAAAGCTGTGATATTTGGGTGACTAACAAGGAATTAAAACCAAAATGGCTTAGTGTAATGAGTAAAGTACACTTTAAAATAACCAGGGAATTTATTAATGGTAATACTAAGGATATGGTTATATACTTGGAAGATTTAAGCCAGAATGGTACTTTTGTTAATAAACAAAGAGTAGGCCGTGGGAATAAAGTTGTACTTGAAAGTAATGATGTTATATCTTTAGCACAACCAATGGTCACTGGTAAATATAACACTTTTAATAATTTATTTGAAAGTAAAGTTATCTTGTTCTGATACTTATATTTTATGTTTTATACATATATTTTTTGTATTCATAACAGTGTATGTATTTATGAGTACTGTTGCATTTGAAAGCAATGACTTGCCTCCAGAGCTCAAAAGCAGGTATGCTGTGTCGCGTAAATTAGGGTCTGGAGCATGTGGAGAAGTGAAATTGGTCTTTTCTAAAGTTGGTTGTAAAAAATTTGCTATGAAAACTGTTTTAAAAATGAGTACCACAACAAATGGACAAAGACATCCATTAAATGATCCAGACAAAATTATGAATGAAGTGAAAATATTAAAAGCGCTGAAACATGTAAGATCAAACATACTATGAATTGTTGTAATCACGTATGTTAAAAAAACATATCTTATTTTCAGCCTTGTATAATTCGAATGGAAGAAATAGTAGATAGTCCAAGGGCAGTGTATATAGTTCTAGAATTAATGGAGGGTGGTGAGCTATTTGAGCGCATTAAAAGTAGGGGGAAGCTGTCAGAAAAATCTGCAAAATTAATTTTTTATCAAGTTGTACTTGCTGTTAGTTATCTTCATGACTCTGGTATAACTCATAGGGATTTGAAGGTACATCTTCACAAGACATGACTTAATAGTTCTACTAAATAAAAGTAATAAATTAACCATATTTATTGTAGCCAGAAAATATATTGTTAGCTAGCGATACAGATGTCACATTAGCTAAAGTCTCAGATTTTGGGTTGTCAAAGTTAGTTGATGCACAAACTATGATGAAAACCTTTTGTGGTACACCTATGTACGTTGCACCAGAAATATTATGTAATATTGGACGTGGTTCTTATACGAATCAAGTACGTACATTTAATTACACGTATTTAGTTATATTTTTAAGGAAATATTGCATGCATGCATACATCAATATTAAAAGTCGAAAACTTAAATTGTGTATATCATGCCCTTTTTTTATTAGGTAGATGTATGGAGTCTTGGAGTAATATTGTATGCTTGTTTAAGTGGTTCAGTCCCCTTTAATTGTCAAGACCGTGAAATAAGCTTGCAGGAGCAAATAAAGAGGGGATGTTATAAATTTCCTGCTTCCAAATTTGGTCATGTTACAAACAAAGCTATAGATTTGGTATGAATACGCAATATCATTGCAGTATTCCTCCCATAAGGTCGCACTTTATCGCCTTCTATATCTTTGCACTGGTCTCAAGTCGCTGGCAAATAAAAGTGATTACAAAGTCATGTTAACTAGTCTCGATGATCTCGTTTTGCAACCGAACGACACGATCTTCTGGAGGGAATACAGTATATAAGATATTTAAGTAAGTGATTCTAATTTCTAATAATAATTTTTTAGATCAAACGTATGATGACCGTGAATCCACAAAAGAGGATCACTATAAAGCAAGTTTTGTTGCATCCATGGTTGCAGGATCGTGATCTCAGAGATACCGCTGATATGCTATTATCCAAAGAAAATGATGAAAACGTAGTGCCTATAAGTATTTCCAGTAATTATCGACACAAGAATGAGCAATATCCTAGTTTGATAAAACGAGCCCGAATGGAAGTTTGAGTACAAATATGTAGAATTAAACGATTATCTGTTAAAAGTCGGTTATATTTGAGAAGTGATTTCGAAAGAAAAATCACGAAGCTGTTGCAACGAACGACTTGTAATCTATTTGTTATACGAGACCTAATATATTTATGATATAGCTTAATTATTTTCTAAACGATAGATAAAATAAGTTTAAAAATGTATCACAAAAAATGAATAATTCATTAAGTTGATTGATAGTGAGATTTAAAATAATTACACTTTAAATGAACTTGTACTGTTAAAATTACTTTACAGTAGTTATAAAGATATATTAATAACGAAACTAAAATGTTACCTGAATAGTAGTTGTAAAAAATTATTTTTGTATTTTATATTATGTGCTTGTGCTCACTAAAAGTTTGTTAATTATAATATATATTATTTCTACTCGATTGGTTTTATAGCATACGAAATGTGACTGTGAGCAGTTCATTTACTTCGGAAAAATTTAAAGCAAGTAACAATTCGATTGTACTACAAAAAACCGGTTTATATACAATTACATGTTGTCTCAAGACTAACGTTTTGTTAATCACATATCTTTTCCTATCGTATTCTTACTCCTCCCTGCATTGATATATTTCCTCACCGTTGCAGGGATTGGGAAGTGGAGTTTCCATATCCGGTTGTTCTTTTTTGGCAAGTCCCGCTAACAAACGTTTTATTTCGGCTATTGCTTTTCCGGGATTTAAACCCTTTAAAAAATTGTCGCTTTAATACTTAAGTACAACCTATTGGAAATATTTTAGTTTCTGAACGTTTAAACATATTCGGTATATCGTACCTTCGGACATGTTTTCGTGCAGTTAAAAATTGTGTGACATCGATATACCGAGTAAAAATCTCGTAATTTGCTGAGTCTTTCTTTATGTGCCATATCGCGTGAATCTATTATCCACCTGTATGCCTGCACAATACAAAAGATTATATTGTGTTAGACGTACCATACAATATGAATGTACCTGTTGTATCTTAATTTATGATATTTTTTATTTACTCCATTACATGCTACGTCGATTACTGTAACTCGTATAGTGAACGTGAATAAGGATTTGACGAAATAGTTAAAAATGGGACCAAAGTTTTATAATTAATCATACTACATGATATAAGAACAGTTTTATACGTGTCTGCAATATACCTGTAAAAGAGTTGCAGGTCCCAGGTATTTATCACCGAGCCACCAATAAGGTGGACAGGCGAAGGTACAGCACCCACAGAGTATACATTCATATAAACCATTGATTTTATCTCTGTCTCTTTGACTCTGTAGGACTTGTCGGATACCTACGAAATTTTCTTCACCCGGACGCTTTAAAAATGGTTCGATACTCTGATATTGCTTCAAGAATTCTTCCATATCCGTTACCAAGTCTCTGATAACATATGCATGCGGTAAAGGGTATATAACTATTGGCTTCGGTGATTCCTTCACTTTTCTAAGAACAAAGGAAACGGTACAAGTTTTATGGCAAAAAATATCCGAAATACCGGTTATTAATTAATTATAAATCGTTTCTGCACAACTTAAATCTGTATGCAACTGTGATACTTAAGTGGTGAAAAACATGATTCCAGAAAAAAACATAAATTACGTGATGCAGGCCAAAGTATTGACACCATTTATATTCATCGAACAACTACCGCAAATGCCCTCGCGACATGATCTGCGGTAGGATAATGTGGGATCATGCTGTGCTTTTATTAACGTTAACACGTCCAACACCATTGTACCGCATTTATTTAAATCCACAGAGAACTGTTGCATGTACGGCTTGATATTTGGTTTCTCTGGATTCCAACGATATACACGTACTGTCTGTAGTTTTGGTGTTTCCTTTTCCTTTAGTTCGTAAACATTTATGTATTAATATGTGAACATTTTTAATGACAAAAATAACTTGCTCACATAAATTCCTTACAGAATTTATGCAACAATTTATTTGAGTGCTTTCAGGCATAATCTTGTACTAAAACGCAAAATACGGTCATCTTTCGAAACTCTTGTAAAAACGTATGAAGATACTATTGGATAATTTTCAGTATACTTTGAATTGTATTCCTAGAAAGAAAATCCAAGGGTGCAGTTCATAAGACATAGTTATATAAATACTTTATGGTTCTAACTATGTATTGCGACATGTATTTTAAGGGCCCAGTTCCTCGGCCAGAAATTTGCAGCTAAACATAAGGTAATATTTTTGTATTATATCGGTTTACTCATTACCGAAATAATATATAAAGTATACTAGTCTGTAAATCTCCGCTTTAAAGCACTCGGTATATGATGTTCCACGAAAGGGTAATCATAGAAACTTCGGAGACAGTACGCATTAAGTATTTAATTTTTAACGCTGACCGGGTTATTAATTATTTGTATAACATGAAAACATGACAAAAATATTTAAAGGATATAATATTTCTCAACGAGAGAGGGATGGAGAGTAAAGTAAAAATATTGCTAACTTCTGGAGGTGTTTTACATCTTTTTATAAGGGCAAGCTCGGAAGCAATAATATTATTTGTTTCGTTAGGTGGTTTGCTCGTTGGTGTTTCAGCCTTTTTTTCACTGGATAGAAATCTACAGGTTCGGTAATAACTGCTCTGGCACGTGACTTGTCGACAAAGAGACAAAATTGTGGAACTTTTAAGCTGGTTCGTGTAACTGACGATGTTGAGATTGAACATGCTTGTAAAAAAAAGTACGTTACAACGAAGCCTTTCGTAAATATCGAGTCAGGTTAGAAGGACATGTTTTGTCTTGTAAACTTTGGATCATTTCATTGTCCGATGTTCGTGTAATTCTTTGCCGCGATAAAAACAAAATATGATCATTTGCCAGAACTTCACGGTTATCCGTATAAATCCAATGTCAATTTATTTAAGAATGATTATAATATAGGACCATAGGAGAAGATTACTGGATTACAAATTTTATACGTTTGTAGTAAATATAATGTATACAGGGTATTCCATTTTAATCTTCCAGGGAAAATATTTCAAAAGATACGAATGATATGAAAAAATGTTTTAGGTATAAGTTGTATGGTTTTCTGGGGAACATGTTATGTTGTCATTTATTTAACCTTGCAATGTCTTTGCAAAAGCCTACCAAGGTCACTTTTGAATTTTTAAATGCGAACCTATATGCCATCAACAATAATATGCAATAAAAGATATGGGTTCCAATTTAAAAATTGAAAGGCGACCTTCGTAGGCTTTTCTAAGGTCATCGCAAGGTCAAATAAATGACAGAATATTATGTCCTCTAAAAAACCATACAACTTCTACCTAAAACTTTTTTTTATATCATTCATATTTTTCAAGATATTTACCCTAGGAGATTAAAATTGAACACCTGTATGTATTTAAACTACAACAGAGCAAGAACTTTATTAATGTTTCCTTGAATTTGTATTTCATTTTGTATCCCTCAATGAAGCAATTAAATCTTTGTTTTATTATTACATAATTAATTTTGTGACATATAAAGTATACGATAAATATCCGCACTAAATAAGTGCTAACAGTATTTGTTTATCAGTGCGTTCGCGTAATTTGCACAATCAGTTGTTTTTGAAGCATACATTGCGTAAAGTACTTTATATATACATACATACATATACATATTTAATATAAGGTATACTTGCAAGTATACCTAAGTATACCTATTTTCAAGATGTGTTTCTCTCTAAATTTTTGAGAATACATCTTTTCTTCATTTCCGCCAAAAAAATTTAAATGTATAAATTAACAAGAAGTAGGATATTGCTATTCTTATTATACGTAAATGATATTATCTTTAAAAACTGTTGAGAATTATTTCTTTTAAAACTTCTTATATATAACGCTGAATAATAAAACAAATATGCTATATACTATTTAGAAATTAATAAAATAATAATTAAATAATTTTCCTTCAACGTTTTAGCATTTAGCAATGTTTCTATAAATAATTATATAGCGTTATTATTGTACTTCAAGAAAAATTAATTAAACAATGTCTGTTGTTCTTTTTTTAATGTAAATACTTTGTTTAACTTACATTCGGCTAAATGTAATGAACTATTCAGATGTTTATGCTATTGTCAATTGTTTATATTTCACAACAGAAGATACTCTTTAAATATCATGAGAAGTTCTAAGAGGTCAAATGTCATCGCTCGTGATAAACGGGTTATAATGGATTAACCCCTGCGAAGAAATATGTATTTAGTCTTTTCGTTACACGAATGACGATACGTCAATAAATACTGATTAGCAATTATTGTATGAACATAATAAGCGACCTATAGGCAGCTCAGTGCTTCAAGTAGATTTCATTACCACCTGTTGCGTTTGAGTAACGCGAATGTTTTAAATATTATAAGTAGAGCAAACGGAATAAAATTTTGGAACACGTGTGTTGTCAAGAATCAATCGTAAAGTAAGTAAACGTTACCTCATAAGTAAATAAGATTTTTAGAAAATTATTATTGCGGAGGTTATAGTTTAATATATATATAAATACATATTTATATGCATAGTACATTATGTTCTTTTTAACATTTTTATTGAACGTTTCATATCATTAGTTTATATATTAATGTATTTCTTTTATATACACATAATTATGAACATTTCATCAGTTTTGTTGAATTTATAATTGTTCTTTAGTATATTTTACCATAACTATAATTACAGATCAAATCCTTTTAGACACAATGATGAATAGTGTTTTGGTTATCGGTGGTGGTGGTAGAGAACATGCCATTGCTTGGAAACTTTCCCAATCTCCATATGTAAGTATCTTAAATTCCATACACTTGCAAATAATTTGTCAAAAAATATTCTTTCAATGATTATAATACATGTATCTATATAAGTTTTATAGATGAAAATTGTATAATTGGAATCCTTACTATATCAGTAATTTATACAATTCACTGAATCATTTAATTTTGTGTACAAATATCAATTTTGTTTAGGTAAAAAAAATCTATGTGTCTCCTGGAAATGTTGGAATGACATCAATTGATAAGGTTTCCTTAGTGAAATTAAATGTTAAGAGTAACAAGGTATTTTCTCATATTAATATTTATTAGTTTTCACTTGTTAAGTATAAACCACACTATAGTTAATCATCTAATAGGAAGTAGCTAAATGGAGCGAAGATAATAAAGTAAATTTAGTAGTAGTTGGTCCAGAAGAATATTTGGCAAATGGATTAGCTGATGAATTGAAAAACGTGGGAATCTACTGTTTTGGTCCACAACAAGCAGCATCTATGATTGAAGCTGACAAATATTGGGCAAAAGAATTTATGGATAGACATCAAATTCCTACAGCAAAGTGGAAAGGATTTATCAATGCTGAAAAAGCAAAGAAATTTGTTATGAAGTAAGTATGAATCTTTACTTCTAAATAACTTATTTTAGAAAAACTATTATATGTGTAACACTTTATTGTAGTGCACCATTTCCAGCTCTTGTAATAAAGGCTGCTGGTTTAGCAGCTGGAAAAGGAGTAATAGTAGCAAAAGATAAACAAGAAGCATGCAATGCAATAGATGAGATTTTAACAGACATGAAGTTTGGCTCTGCTGGAGAATCAGTAGTTGTAGAGGAGCTATTAGAAGGAGAAGAAGTCTCTGTGCTTGCATTTACAGATGGTATAATACCAGTATTTTAGAATAAGGGACTCTTAAATTTCACTCTATTGCAATACTGAGATTATCAATTTCTTTTTACTAACAGGAAAAACTGTTGTTCCAATGGTTCCTGCACAGGATCATAAAAGAATATTTAATGACGACATGGGACCAAACACTGGTGGCATGGGTGCTTACTGTCCATGTCCTTTGTTACAAAAAGAAGATTATGAATTGGTGAAATTAGATGTCCTTCAAAAAGCTGTTCTTGGTCTTAAAGAAGAACAAATTCCATTTGTTGGTCTGTTCTATACAGTATAATTCTATTGAAGTACAAGTAAAATTTGTAGAAACGATATCAAACAAGTTCATTATGTTACAAAATTTAGGCGTGTTATATGCTGGGTTAATGCTAACCAAAGACGGACCCAAGGTTTTAGAATTTAATTGCAGATTTGGGGATCCAGAAACACAAGTTGTATTACCACTATTGAAATCAGATTTATTTACAGTTATGAAGGTAATAAATATCATAGTATATAAATATTTTATTAAGATTAATACTGTACATTTGATATGTAGGCCTGCTGTGAGGGTTCATTGACTGAATCTCAAGTTTCATGGCGAGAAGATGTATTTGCTGTTGGTGTTATTTTGGCATCTCGTGGCTATCCGGCGACTTCGTCGAAAGGCCAAGTTATATATGGTGTCAATGAGATTGTGCGTAAAGCAGATCATTTTGTTTTCCACAGTGGAACAAATATTTCTCCAGAAGGAGATCTGTTGACTAACGGTACATTTTGAATACAATTCACTAGCATGCAAATGAACTGTAAATTGTTTTAATTTTATTTTTGTTATTAGGAGGAAGAGTTCTCATTACAGTAAGTTTAGCATCTTCATTGGCTTTAGCTGCTGCTAAAGCAACTCATGCTGCTCAAAGCATATCTTTCGAAGGGAAACAATTTAGAACTGATATAGCATACAAGGGAGTTGCAAGGTATACAAAATTTTGATTTTGTATAAAGACGAATGTTAATAAAGTAATATTTTCAGGTCTATATTGCATCACGGAAAACTTACATATAAAAGTAGCGGAGTAGACATAGCTGCCGGTGATTCGTTAGTGTCAGCTATTAAGCCAGTTACATCTTTGACGCAACGTTTAGGAACAATGGGTTCGATAGGTGGTTTTGGTGGATTATTCGATGTTAAGGCAGCAGGTTATAAAGACCCACTTTTGGTGTCTGGTACTGATGGCGTTGGAACTAAGTTAAAGGTATAAATGGGTTCATAATAAACGTAGTGAGAATTTTCTAAATGCTATACCTTACTTTATTTCTATAGATAGCTTTTGAATGCAATAAGCACGACACAGTCGGTATAGATTTGGTAGCTATGTGTGTAAATGATGTTCTTGCACATGGTGCAGAACCATTATTTTTCTTGGATTATTTTGCCTGTGGGAAATTAGATGTAAATGTAGCCAGTGACGTTATAAATGGTGTAAGTGAAGGATGCAAAAGAGCTGGGTGTTCATTGGTAAGTGAAAATAAAAATTAAAAATATTAATAATATAAAAAAATATATATTTGTGCCCTGAATTTATTCAAAAGATATTTTGCTATGTAAACGTATTGCGAGTTACGTTGCTTTGCTTGAGTAATAATTATTCGCAAAATATTTCTAGGTTGGCGGTGAAACAGCAGAAATGCCTGATATGTATGCCAATGGAGAATATGATTTAGCGGGATTCGCTGTAGGTGCTGTTGAGAGGGATAAATTACTTCCACGCACAAATGATATAAAGGAAGGTGACGTAGTAATTGGTCTTCCATCAAGTGGAATCCATAGTAATGGATTTAGTCTTGTTCGAAAAATTTTAAAGCTAACAGACAAGAAATATTCTGATATAGCACCATTTTCTGAAAATAATCGTACAATCGGTATTTATAGCCTTTATTTATCTTACTACTTACTTATATATCATACTTATAAAAATAACTAATTTATGTTTATTATATACTAAAGGCGATGAACTATTGGAACCAACAAAAATTTATGTAAAAAGTGTAATATCCGCTATGCAAACGAATTTGATAAAGGCATTTGCGCATATTACTGGAGGAGGTCTCACAGAGAACATACCCAGAGTCTTACCAGAAAATATAGGAGTGGTGTTAGATGCCAGTAAATGGAATATCCAATCAATTTTTGGTTGGTTAGCAGCTGTTGGTAAGAAGAAAGTAAAAGTAGACTAAATTATATTATTTTTGTGGACTTACTTCATATTTGAAGGTGTTTAAAATCGTATTTTCTTAGGTGAGATTAATAAGGAAGAAATGTTACGGACATTTAATTGTGGTATTGGGGCAGTGTTAATATGTTCAGAAAAAGATAAAGATGTAGTTTTAATGAAGTTACAAACAGAGAAGCCTACTGTTATTGGACATGTAAATAATCACGAGGGTAATGTCATTGATATTATATAAATACAGTTTTTATGTTTTACCCTTATACATTAGGTAATAGTATAAAATATTGTAGGAAGTAAAATTAGGGTGAATGTTAGAAATTTTGAAGCAGCATTGGAATTGAAAATGAAACAGTACGTACCGGATATCGTTACAAAGTTACGTAAACCACCAAGGAGGGTAGGTGTTCTTATATCTGGTAGTGGCACCAATTTGCAATCATTAATAGATGCTACTCAAGATCCAACACAACATATCGGTGCAGAAATAGTTTTGGTGATATCTAATAAACCAGATGTTGAAGGACTTAAACGAGCTGAAAGAGCTGGTATTAAAACAGTGGTAATTACTCTTTTCTAATTTTCTTATTTCTTATTTTCCATTACTGAAAATGCAGTTACTATTTCATAATGTAATTTAATGTTTTATAACAGGTTATTAAACACACTGATTATCCTAACCGAGAAGCTTTTGATTCGGCAATGAATGTCGAACTAGATGCTGCTGAAGTTCAAATAGTTTGTTTGGCTGGTTTTATGCGTATTCTATCGGAAAGTTTCGTAAATCGATGGCGTGGAGCATTAATAAATGTACATCCATCATTGTTACCATCCTTTAAAGGCGCGTGTGCACATAAAGATGTTTTAGCAGCTGGTGTACGTGTTTCAGGATGCACAGTACATTTTGTCGAGGTAAAAAATGTTGTTAAAAATTAATATGAGAACACTAAAATGTGTTTAAAGTAATATCTTAATTTAACCCAATTATTTGTAGGTCGATATAGATTCGGGAGCAATCATTGAACAAGCAGCAGTTCCTGTATTGCCAAATGATACTGTAAAAACACTTCAAAATCGTGTAAAAACAGCGGAGCATGGTATATTTCCTCTAGCATTAAAACACTTAGCTACTGGTAAAATAGAATTGAAAGAAGATAATACTATTATCTGGAACTATTAAAAACAGAACATTTTGTACCACTTTCTATCTAGTAAAAGGTATATTTTTTTATCTTTTATTGTCTATTATTTATTTTTCATATATAACCATTTCTAACATTACAGCAAGTAATTGGTGAAGATGAAAGAATGAAAAAAGAAGCATATTTTATTTTTTATGAAACGTTTTTATTAAAAATGAAGTTATAACATCAAGTATACCTTCATTATGTTGATTCATAGTATCATTAGAATTCATATTTTCATAATCCGAATATTTTTTCGTTTTTTTCTTTGGTAGTGTAGAAAGTGCTTCATTTGCTAGATCTTCTAACTTGATATGAAGCATTTGTTTCTGAAGTATAGGTACTAATAAATTGTATTTATCGATTTTATTATTTACACGTTTTACCACTGATCTAAAATCTTCTACGATGTTTTTCCAAGTTGATTCATCTGCAGAACTCAATGGTAGAACACCTACTTCGTTTCGAGCTTCTTTTAATTGCTTCCGTAAATTCGCCGTCTCTTCTCTGATTTCTTTAGATAATTGTATCCACTCAGGCGTAAATCCATTTTCGATTAATACCTGCGGATAAAAATTAAGATAATGCATTGCGAATTTCTAATTATATTTAATGTTCCATACCTCGTTTAATTTGTACGTTACAAAATCAACGTATGGATTTCGTGTATTTATATTTTCTTTTAGAGGTTTACCCGTGCCTGGTAGATCATTAAATTCACCTTTCTTCATTGCTTCTTGTATTAAATCTTCTACCAAACGATCCATTCCAAATCGTGTTTTAATATCTTTTGCACGCTCTTTGTCTTTTCCAACCAGTGTATTACGTTCTTCAGCCTGTAATTTTTTAAGCCTATGTTCTATTACATTATCAGCTGCTTTCTGAGCCCTGTTTGCTGTATACAACTTTTGTCGTTTACTGTATGTTCCAGTTCCTACATTATATGTTAAATAATGACGATGTTGTGGAGCTGTATGCTAAAACAGAAATGGATATGAATTAATACTCTTAAAAAGTAATTGAATAAAATATATATGTAATTTAGCATACTTACTCTAATATCGAATTCTTCAACTTCAGATACTGTCTCACTATTTTCTTTCTGCTCCATTCTTGCCTTACGAATCTGTCTGTAAGCATTCTCAATCTATTGGAGATAAAACTGATATTATGCTGAGTAAATTACATGAATCTAACCAATTATTTATTTTGATTACGCAGAAGGTAACACAATTTCTGTGTATTACCATGAAATAGTTTAATACAGAATAGTATGTCATTAATAATTCTGTTGACCAAATATCAAAGATGACAAAAATTTATACTATATTTTCATATAATTTTATATTGTATTTTGACTTAAATGCATGGAAAATATATAAAAGGAAAAGTGATTTAAGAAAGTTAAAAGAAGTGAAAAAAATGTAATATAAACTAGTGAAATCATCTAAACAAAGCTCATACATTATATGGGAGTAAAGGAGTCATTACAACAGATAATGGATTATGTGTACCTCGGTAAATTTAACTGCACTAGCTTCAGATGTGCCACTGTCTGGATGAAACCGTTTGGCTAAATAAAGAAATGCCAATCTTAATGTTTCATCCTCACAATTTTCAGAAACTTCTAATATTTGATACCATTCCTTAAAGGATAATGAAATATTTAAATCACATTTGAACAATAAATATAATTAATGTCTGTATACAAAATTAAGGTATATAAGAAGAATTATATCTGATTTCTATGTTGGAACCTTCAAACACTAGTATAAGATGTAATAAAACAGAAAGTACCTTCATATTGTGTTGGTGTTTCAATCTTTTTGTGACCGTCAAATCCGAATTCTTAATAGATGGCAAATATTCGGATTTTCCGCATAAACGATTAAACTTTAACATGATTCTTAAAAAGTCAAATACTATAATGATCTTAATATCTTTTTCTACGATTATATAACTGCTTAAGAAATTATATGTATATACTTGTATTAACTACTATTAATAAAGATATTATTCAAATAGAAAAATAACCTACGCGATTTTATAGTCATGATTAATTGTATGTAAATTATATATATGTACACACCACATAATAATAATTTATCATTAATTTTGATTATGTGCCGAATGTTTTATTTACAATCATACATTGTGAAATTATTGTTTATGTTACATATTTTTCTAAAATTATATAAAACGTCAAGTACTGACGTTAGAAAATTTGCGTCAGCGCATGACATATGACTGGGAGTACCTATTTGTCACTATTTGCCTATTGGTACCTATTGGCACAGACGAGATATATCTCGTCTGAAAAAGTGGGGTCATAGAACCCCCGGTGGAGGCGCCACAGACCCCGTGTGGTGAGAGGGTGGGGGTCATAGAACCCCCCGGTGGAGGCGCCAGAGACCCCGTGTGCAGAGATTGTGGGGTCACAGAACCCCCGGTGGAGGCGCCAGAGACCCCGTGTGGTGAGAGCGTGGGGTCATAGAATCCCCGGTGCATACGCAAGAGTTTTGAACGTGATTCTTCATCGTACGAGTTTTTGTTGTTCGTACGAGTCTCTAGCTCGGTCTAATGTTGCTCGTGCAACTGTCGTAATCTGACTGACACTTGTGCGTACTTCCGTGAGCAAATTATATAGTAACCCCAGTAACCATGGCAGTTTCTGCAGATACTACTACAGCCCAAGTTTAAAAGACGTAGGCAGTAGTTAGTTTCTGTAGTAACCTGTTGAACCAGACAACTATAATTAGTATAGGATTGTACAATATTTATGCAGTTATATTTAAGACAATTCGATGAAATGAAGCTTATATTACCCGACGTATGTTTATTGGAATATACATATATACATATAAATTATAATGATACAAAAGTTTGAAATACAATACGATGCGCTACGGTACAATACGTCTATTCGATTCAATTGCTCCCTTGCGACTACAACAACATGTTATCCGCGTTCAGCGCAGTGCGCTAATACGGAGGCCAATGAAATATCACTGTGACACTTAAAAAACTATTAAAGTTCCATTTAGATCATTGTCCTGTGAAAATGTTCATACTTCCAGCAGCATTCATATTCCAATCAAAGAATTTACAGAATAAGGAAAAGGAATCTAAAGTAATTTTCAGTAGTTCCATACATCTTTATCTCGAATAATTTTCTAAAACATTCAAAGTACTAGACATTTTTACATTTTGAATCTCATATCGATTTCTAAAATAATCGAAACACGGCACAGTAAATAAATCACAGTATAGAAATCACAGTACATAAGAAAATAAATATCGAAGCCAATGGTTCTCGAACATCTGTAACATACAAGGGATTAGTAACAAGAGAGGGGACACAACAATATGCACAGTAAATAGACTAATAATATGCACAGTAAATAGATTAATAATATGCACAGTAAATAAATTAACTGGTTGTCGAATGCCTAAAACACACAATGGGTTAGTAACACGAGAAAGGACAAGTCGAGATACGCGCCCACCCTCCAGGACAGTTCACGAGAAAGTAAGCAAGCACGGGATCACACTGATCAGTTGATCACAGCTCCCAGGCTGACAATAAACGAGCACCTACTGTAATGTTCGTTCGGCGCCAACTACATGTATTTTTCGGTAAATTACGATAGCCACCTGGCGGTGAAACTTGGAACTAATTCTAGATTGGTATAAAAAACGCGGGAAACGGCTAAAAACAGAAAAAAGTATTAGATAATAGGTTTCTTCTGTAAAAAGTATTAGATAATAGTTTCTTCTGTAAAAAGTATTAGATAATAGTTTCTTCTGTACCTAGTCGGTGGTAACACTAGCTTGACACTTCATAATGCATCCTGTAATTTATATAACAATCTCCCCCCTCACAATGCAGAATACTTTCAGCCGAGTTTATATGACTTCGTTTTTATTAATCATCCGTGAAAGTGTTTACAACGATCGAATTCCGTGGAACTCGTTGTATAAATATAAACTTGACGGTATGAACATTACATGTACAAATTTTTAATCGATTTACACAAACAATTGTCAATCCATCAGATTCGGGACTGGAAAATGAAATTTTTGATCGGTCGTACAGAGTATAAAATTCCACGTGTTGAGCGCTACACTTCGTCCCTCGAATGTACAAATGAGAAGTGACACGTGCGCCCGTGCCACCGGTCAGTATTAATTAATCGGCAGAATATCGTGAACGGAGGTCAGGTGGAGCTAACAATGGAATCTGGCCGCGTTCTCAACGACGCGATGAATTGATCTCACGCGGGATCTCGATTACATCAGCGAACGCAAATCTTGGCGGCGTTTTTTTTATCGATACGGAATAGAATGCTGCGAGTCGGCAATAAGTTCGTTTCAGTACGCTCGAATCGTTGGGGGAACATGCTGTGCTTCGTCCTCGTCCAGTGTCGCATCGATGACGGGTCGATAGGAAATGCTGATCTGCAAACATATTTGTGACATTTATTAATTATAATGTAATCCCTTCCGGGTCGCTTTTCAAATCGTATGATGTATAGTAGAGCTCTCTGGCTCTAGACGAATTTCCGGATAATTTCGTTTATTTAAATAGAGATTATTAAGAAAATTTGTGGAGAAAAATTGACAGTTTGTTTAAATCTTTATGAATCCCATATCATTTTGGTTTTGAAATTATAGAAATTTTTCAATGTAAGTATGTAATGTAAGCTCTGATTGCTAGGAGGCATTCTGCTTGGATAACGGAACGTTCGGATATTAGGGTACTCGGATAATATACAGGAGGTTCTACTGTATTAATCTCATACCGTATTAATTCATCCGTATTAACTTCACTTTACAAAAAAAAAATTTTTTCAAAAGAACTAGTCTTCGCTATAAGACTTATAAAGGCAATAAAATCTATAATCATTTATTGTAAATTCTCAAAGTGAAACGCAAAACTAAGAGTGAACCTTACAATTCTCATTGTTGAGGCTTTAGAGGATATAAGCCGTGTCCTCGTGGAATTGTTTTCCCAACGTTTCGCAAGCATTGCAGTTAGTTTCATCAAGGGGTCGAAAGACACAATGATATTGCTGTTTGCCTTGTGGTGCTCCTCTAATATACTGTTCTATAACTGTTCCTGAGGGAACATGAGCAAGCTCCGGATAATATAACAGACATTGATAAGTTGCCCTGTCTATTCTGCATTTATGGTAATACAGAGTAGAATTTATCATACTGTTTTCAGACAAAAGTGTCCTAATATTTATGAACGGAAGATTCATCGTAGATGTCAAACATAAATAACGAAAATTCAGTAATTAATACAATGAACGATAATCGAAATCGGTAAGGTTAATTGCAGTGACGTTAACTGTGCATGAATCTTCCAAAGAAAGAAACTCAAACAAGAGAAATCAAAGTCATTTATGTCGCATTTTAACAGATTCCCTTTCCTAAATATCAAATTTATTATAAAATAATATTTGGTATATTAAATTATTTGTACGAATTAATTCTGTGTTACTGGTTGTTGAATCAACTATACAGTTAGAATTTAAAGGCACAGTTTTGTTAACTCACCGCTCCGTCCTCCCGAGCCCACGTGAGGGTGTGCTTTCGCCAGTGTTCACTATATGGACGTTTTTGCTGAGACTCGATTGGCTTGGAGTAGTCGTATTCGTCGATTCTCTCCTGAAAACGTGATATTTTTCCGAAATAGGACGACATAAAAATGTGTTACGAAATCGCCAACTGCATAGATTTTCGCACAATTATATATTTCTGACAGGCACCTTGAAATCATCCCGTGCATGCGATCCTCTGGACTCTTTCCTGTTCTCCGCCGCGTACACAATATGCATGGAACAAAGCATCATGTTTTGTAATTCTATGGCTTCAACGAGTTCTGTGTTCCAAATTAACGATTGGTCCTGAACCTAAAGCGTTACATTGATATTTTTACGTAACTCGGTGGAGTATAAAATAGAAGTAGAAGACAGAACTATACAGGGTGTACCATTTGTCTCGAATACTTTAAAAATATTCAACACAGAAAATTTCCAGTACAGTTCATTTTTTTTTTTTTGGCTATTATGAAAGTGTACCAGTTTTCTTAACACTTTGACTGCCGGCCTCAGGTTTTCGGGACTGTAAATTTCAATTAGGCAACTGGTGGCACCATCCCAGATAACACACGACGTCCAAGGACACCTTGAAGACGGTTTAAAGGCGCCTTAGACCTAAAATAGCCGTAAAATGGACGTGTTTGAGGCGCCATGAGCTATCTGGGATGTGTATGATCATATGGGCGTAGCCAGGGTGGAAGTCGAGGGGAAAAAATTGGATTTTGTCCCCTCTCCCGCCCCTAGAGCAGAAAAACAATATTATAAAATTTATTGATTACCTGGCTACGTCTATGCGTGAGTATATATTTTTAATTTGTAGCAGAAATTTTACTCTCGCATATAGGGCGGAAGTACAAAATTGCACTCGGCGGTCAATGTGTTACTGGTAAACAACTAAGCTATTTTCTATTATGAAAAAAATGAACAAATTCAAGAACAGAAAAATTATTTAACCCCCACCCCCCTCCCACCGTCCTAATTTCACATGGACTACATCATATTTCATTTTTAATGAAATCCCTGACATCGAGTGCAAAGAGTAATCGATTTGACGTTGGTATAACCCCAAAATTATACTCGTTTCAGGTGTCTTAACGTGCTGCAGTGTGCGATTACGTGAATGGAAAATTTCGATTAATTCACCTACACATATGTCCGGTAAGTCACAGGTGTAGAGACGACTCATCTCGCGGCATCCTCGCTGCAACACGTCGCAGGTTCGGAACACCGAGCAATATCGGTGCATGTTATATTGCATCTCATCGCGGAGCTCGGCGACGGGAAAGCAGCCCTTCGCGTGACGGGTCGCGTCGAAGCGACAAACAGATTGTTCGCTGATAGCCTGTTCGTAAACATGTTGTAAAATAAGAGAAGGATGTTCATGTAGATCACATATTTAACAGCTTTTTAGCGTCGAGTCTATTTTGAACATAATTTTCAAGAGGCCGAATTTTTATACAGAGCTTTTCCTCTGTACCCCACTTTACAGAGGGGCTCCAATCTGTGCCTTCCATTCAGAGTTGGGCAGAATTTAATTCGAATAATACACAGTGAAAAGCAGCAGTATCTGAGGGCGTCGTCCTGAGCTTTAAACAGTTAATGAGATTAAATAATTGTTCGACAAATGTCGATTCATTCATAAAGAAGTATTACTTTATTATAAAAATTGAAATTTACACGTTCAAACGATTAAAAATGACGAAAAATTTTTTTTTATCTCTCATTCGTTATTCGAAACTTTTCATCTCGATAATGAGTTTGCCTATATCTGCTTCCATTTATGTAAAAAAATAATTGAATGAAATTTTCTTTACTGTTCTCCCCTTGAAATAATAAGAAACTGCGCTAAATGTAGAAATAAATCGGATCAATGTTGTTAAAGTATAACGAAGGATGGTTTGTTATAAAAAATTTAGAATAAATGTCAATTTTTTAAGATTTATGAATTTTATTGTATGTGACACTGACAGTAATTGGGACATTTACTCTAAAGATAAGGACAATGAGATTAGCGGTAAGCGTATGAAAGGTATACTTACAGAAGATAGATCTTCGTGGCGTTCACCGGGCCTGCTCATACAATCGATCTGATCAGCGATCGCCTTGCCAAAGACAACCAATTCCAAGAGACTGTTCGCTCCCAGCCGATTGGCGCCATGAACAGAGGCACACGCGGTCTCACCAGCGGCCCAGAGTCCTTCGATTACCTTGTCCTCCTCGTCTTCCCGCGTCAGGACCTTGCGAGCCGAGGAAATATAATAGGGGAAGGTTGCCGAATTTGGACCATCGCCTAGGTTGGACCATTATTGTAACTTGTTGGTATAACACCGGTATTTAATGGTTCGGTAGAAGTCTCTGCTTCTGACGCCCCCAAAGCATGGGACAGAAAATTACATTGCATGTTAGGTTTCTTCTTATATTTCGTCTGTGCTATTATACAGTAGAAATTGTATACACATGACAAGTTACAGAGTAGCGGTGCAACCTAGGCAATGATCCAAATTGGGCAACATTTGCATAGATACGCCAGTTCATTAACGCGTGTCGTTTCACGCTAACCGGGCTAACATGATCGAATTTTTCCCTCATTCGTCTCACCTGTGCTCGCCAATTGGTCGGTATACCGCCCATATTGTAATGCATCGTCGGTATAACTGGAATCGGTTCTTTTTCCACGTCCACGCCGGCGAACACCCATGCCAAATGCGAAATTCCGGGCAGCTTCGTGCGTAACGTCTCCACCGGTAGATGATTCAGTTGCAGGTAGACGTGATCACTTTTGGCACCGACGCCTCTAAATTGAATTAATTTGATAATTCGTGTGGATTCGTGTCACTGACGGATAAGATTGTGTCCATCTGAAGAAACCCACGGACCAACGCGAAATATTCGCAGTGGCAAGAGTTCATTTAATTAGAACTGGGTAAAGTATAGTATTTTAAATAGTAAGTGCAGTAATGTCTTCATGAGTGCGACGAACTCGGATCTGCTTCGGAGCATTCATGGCAAGGTGGAAAAGTTATTAGACCCTCATAAATTTGTCTTTACTCTGTTTACTCTGTTTTGATTGGTTCCGGGGGGGGGGGCGCCAATGGTGGGGATAACGCCGTTGCTCGTGTCGCATTCATCGAGAAATCACTGTAGTTTATTTTACTTTAAATCCTGCGTGTAAGTATGAAAATAAAATAGATATTTGATTGCATTATGTTCTTGAAATAGTAGTGTATTTGAGTTTCTTAATTCTTTCAATTTATTTTCTGTTTATCCATAACGTTTACAATGATCTTGCTGAAAGTGGGATATACGTCTAATACATTTATGGGCATAAATATTTTTCTAGTCTCTTGTTATATGCTCTTTTATGGTGTTTTGCGTTGTAATACTCTTTTCATTGTTAAGAAATATTCCAAAAAATGCAAATTTCAAGTACATACATATATGTATGTATAATGTACAGCCTTAAAATATTAAATTTTATGCTTCAGATCGTTAAAAGAAAAACACGTTATTTTTCGAAATTTCGCTTCTTATTTAAAATGACATTTTATTTGAACCGTTCAGCATCTATTATTATTGAAAATAGTATTTGAATCGTTCGTTACCTATCTCTGCATTTTATAGAAAGTGATCTTGTAGATGTAACCTTTAATTTCTTTTCACTATACGTCACCTTCCCTCGAATATTTCCATGGTTATTGCCCTCGAGACCACGTCACGGGATGCAAGATCCTTCGCATTCGGCGCGTATCGTTCCATAAAGAATTCTCCTTGGGAATTGAACAGCTTCCCGCCTTCGCCCCGACTGCCTTCCGTAATCAGTATCCCGCTTCCGTATATTCCTGACGGAAAATATTGCCAGTTTCACGGGGAAAAGATATTTGCATTAGCAATTTCGTTTCGTTTGTTACGGTATGAAGTGCCTACCGGTTGGATGGAACTGGATGAATTCCATATCTTGAAGCGGCAATCCCGCCCTGGACGCGATTGCCATTCCGTCGCCTGTACAGGCGTGCGCTGCTGTGCAAGACAAGTAACATCTTCCTGCTCCTCCTGTTGCTATTATCTGGAAAAGAAGCGGCAAGTGGAGAATTAGCTGATTCTTGACAGATTGTACTCGATCTCAAGATTTCGTGATGTTCTGGATTTTAATGTTAGGATAATCATGGGCATAACCAGTGGGAGGGCAGAGGAGTACAGTAAAGACTCGATGAGAGTTGGATAAAAAGTTCCTTGTGAAAGTTATTACTTCATCCCCACCACTGGGGTGGGAGGCCGTGGAACGTCACGAGAAATATGTATTACGTTTCGTTCCTCGCCACGAAAAATAGCATATTTGAATGGTTGTCCGTCTTTCGCTGGGAAAACTAACACGTTTGCGAGTGAGTTGTCACGAAAAGCAGCATGTATCGTTTATAGCGGCGAAAAGAAGCACGCTTGAAAAATCTTTTATTTTACTAGATCGGTAATTTATTAAACATTAAAATACCATACGTAAATTATGCAGCTTCAAATTATCATATTTTTCTCCTTTTCAAAATTAAATGGAGTTATTATTTATCAAAAAATATTTTCAAAGACTAAATTTTTCGTTGTAAAATAGATTTCATTTTTCATTCAAATGAAATTTTATACTTTTCGTCGAAAAAATCTAAATGTGTTATTTTTCGTAGCAAAATAGCACAATGTGTAAACTTTCCTCGTAAGAAAATGTGTTATTCTCTGTGGTGAAAGAGTCGGTCACCGGTGACCGTCATGTAAATATAAATTTCAATGTCAATTAATACACTCAACGTGAACGGAAGGTAGTCGAAATAGGCTTCCTGGTGAGTGTGTTAAATTATAGTCAAAGTAGTGTTTTTTTTAAACGCGTATAGGAGATTGAATGATTTACCGTATGGTGACCTCGAAACCGATGCAGAAGACCGGTCTCTAGTTCCCATGCCAAAACGCCCTTGCAGCACTGGCCGTGCATTAGAAGATCAAGGGCGAAGTATTCGACGTAATAATGTACTTCGTAACGGAGAGATTGCCCGTATAAGGTGTGCAACAATGCGTGGCCGGTTCTGTCCGCGACGGCGCATGTTCTGTGCGCTTGACCACCCTTACCGAACTTCAATGATTGACCGCCGAACGCTCGTTGATAGATCTTTCCATCCTCCGTGCGGCTGAAGGGACAGCCTAAGTATCCAAATTTGTACGTATGTCACTTTATTTTAATTGAAACGGAACTTTAATCAATGAAACTGGGTAGCAAATAACATCAGCAGAAATGTATTCATCCCTTTCTAAAACTTCAACTCATGTTCTTCATCATCCCCATAGAGATAGAAGGACTTGTTACGAACATTTATTAACCAATGGTAAAAGAAGAAAAAATAACGTAGAAAATGGTTGATAAGGAGTCGGTTATAAAATACTTGATGAATGTCATTAATTAAATTAATTGTCAGTTTAATGGAAAAAGATATACTTACAAGGAAAAGTTCCGAAGTGTAACGCTAACTTTTTGGTGAGCCTTTGCATAATGATAAAGCTTGAAATACTGAAGCTAATGGTACTCGATTTTGAGAGCACCCGAATACTGGCATGATCAATTAACCCTCCGTAGACAAAGTGGGTGATTTATGTCCAAGCCTAAGTTTTTATCGTTTCAGGTTTTCCAGAAATCTGAAAATATTCTGGGATACGTATCAAAGTCTCTACTACATTATACAATCTTGCGATAAGTCAAATGTTTTAAGATTTTTTTAATCTAAATAAAAATTCGGAGGAACGTCCGGGAAAAATGAAATATTGCTCAGGTCGTGAACGATCCACATTACCTACGGAGGATTAAGATATAACGGACACGAATAAAATTAAATTGTTAATATCTCATAAACTATTGATCGTCTGCCCCCAAAATCGGGTATATACCATCAGCTTGAACGGTTAAATATTTCATAAGCGAGTGAAGATATGAATAGATTGTTCCTACAAAAGTTACTGAAATTTTCATAAAGTAACCGAAGATAAAAAACTTTAATTTTTGCATTAGCGTTGTTTCACCGACACGCAGGCTTTTAATCGTTTTTATTCCCATTTCAATCCTTTTTAACAAAGTTGCAAACTCAGAAAACGATTTACCGAGGTTGATTTCGAAGCGAACAATTAGTTTTTCAAGAAGAAGAATTATTTATTGGTTAAGAATTGCTTCCCCGAAACTGTTCTCATTGATATCATGAAAGAAACGGTATTGTTTTATTTGGGGATTACCAAAATTTTCAAGTTCGAAGACCGCGCGTGGTGCTTCTCTTGTTAAAAAGTGAATCGCGTCTTGATCCCCTAACCAGTCAGATCCTTTAACAGTGTCGTACATATGGTACAGCCAGCTATCCTCTTTCGCGGTGTCAATTGCAGCGTTTATCCCACCTTGGGCCGCCACTGTATGAGATCTCGTCGGAAATAACTTTGTGATTACTGCTACCCGGTATCCCTTACTTCCTGTTTAATGAAAGAAGAAGAGTACAGATGAAAAGACTGCCGAGTTCATTTTCTTAAACCCTCAAATTTATTATTTTGAATGACTTTAATATAATTGTTATACATGTTGAATTTTCGTTTATTTATCCCCATAATTTATTAAGTTACTATTTGAGGAATAGCTCAGTAGCAGTAACGCTTTGATAAAGATTTAAGATATATATTTATTTCTTTAATCATATTTAACTAAAATTATTTATGCTAAGTAATGTATTAATATCTGTATAAGTAATAGAAACATCCTATTAAACTGTTGAGAGTAAATAAAAAAACACTAAGATAACTTGACCAACTTTATGAATTAATTTACGTACCATTCTTAAATTTGGTAAAAATCATTTTATACAAATATTTTTATTTTACAGTTTACCGTTAAATACGCATACTAAATTCAGGGGGTTAGCTTTAACACCCCGTGCGACACTAAGTATCAGTAAAATCATTAGTTTTAATAAACTACAATAAAGGATAATGTAATTTCTTAATATAAATCTTCACTGTTCAATGCATGGGACTATCCCAACCCAGCTGTAAATTCGACATTAAGAATCATTTCATGAGTAGAACTGTGTTAAACATACAAAGAATTAATCGACATTAGTCTAAAAATGCGAAGGGTCTCGGTAGAAGCAATTGTATTGCGATTGGTCACCATTGAATAAATAATAAAACACTTTACAAAAAGGTAGGATCAATGGTAATAATTAAAACGTCAACTTAAATTAAGTACGAAATTTTTGACATAACATTACCTAAACCAAACGCTGCCCTTAATCCTGCACCCCCAGCGCCGACGATCACAACATCGTAACAGTGATCGATCATGGGATAATTCTGCAAGTAATTTTTCGAATTTTCAATCGCGTACACAGATTGAAAGCACACGTTTCGCGGACGACTCGCGATTATAAGAAGCATATTATTGAAAACATTTTACGTTATCACCGTTCTCCTTGCCGCATTTCGCCTTCTCCCCGGGACTGACGTTTACATGAAAACCCCGCGAACCTTTCTTAGCGAGGCGTTGAGGTTGTGACACGACACGCTGCAAAAGAAATCCAAAACAATAAAAACGACACGGTCCACAACGATCCCGATGTTCGATCCAATTGTCTCTTACAAAAATTCCTGACAGCCTACTTATAGTTCGTAACATCTCAACCGTGTAAAACTATTCTCGAAAGAATCCACCGTTTCGGTACTCGCATGACTCGCGAGCAACCTTGATACACACTCGCTTGTCATTTGATAAAAAGAAATCGGAAATTACGCTGTCTTCAGGAGGCAAAAATAATGTACTGTGCCTGACATGTAGTTCTCCTTATAAGCAGTAACTTTATTGCGGTTGCAAAAATACAGTTCGAAACATAGACGATTTATTGTTTATAATTATTACACAGTTAGTCTGACTCGCGTGATGGCTCTGTTTCCTTAGGATTCCCTCTTTGGTATTCGTTGGACACCAGAGAACTAATGGTGACGATAAGTCGTTCCTTATAAATACGACTATTAAGGCTATTAGGGGTGGATCGGTTCTATTTTTGCTCAAAGCCGTTGTTTTTTCTAGCTACCCTTAGTTTGATTAATGGTTCATTTTAGCTTAATGAACCGTATCTAACGAATATCGTTTAGTTTATGTTACAGTTGCTTCGTTAAACACACGAAACGCGTGATACGGATTATACATAGCGTGATCGGCTGATTCATTCCATTGTGCTCACTCGTATAAAAAACTTACAAAACTGTTGAGGTCGGAGTATTGTACAGGACATTTAATAATTAATGGTACAATTGAAGAGGTACTGAATTTAATGAAATAATGAGTAGACCGCTGATTTATGTGTTTGCAGCATACAGGAAATAAAAATTGTAATAAAATGTTATAATACAGGTCCATAGTGTTGGTACCTTATTTTTAAATAAGAAAATATATGTTTATTGACACTCTTGTAAATTAATCTGTAAAAGTACAAATTTGTATAAACATTCAACACATTGATTTTGAGACTTTCAAGAAGGTCAAAACGAAAAGTTAAAAAGAAAAATTGAATGGGTAGTGTTTTGAACAAATTCTGTATTGATGAGATAAAGTTTTTAGGAAACAAATGTTTTATCGTGTCACGTATCGTTGATTATTGATTATAATAAAAACAATATGAAATTTCTACTTCTCTAGTTGTACCGACTATTAAAGACTCTGTAAAATAGATTTCGATGTGTTTCATGGATACGAACACGAAATCGAGGCAGTGAGACGATGCAGAATGCAATTTACCAATATTAATAATCAACAAAGATAACGAAATATGGTACTAAAAATTAATACTTCTGTCTATGGTGTGGGATTTTCCCATCTGTATATGACGCAATAAACGCAAATGCGAAGTTTTACTTTGTTAATCTGTATATTTATGAAAAATAGAGTAGGATTTATTTGATATATATGTATATCCGTCCATTCACCTGAATTTGGAAGGGCAATCATAGAAATGTTCAAGAAAATTTATTTTAAGTAAAAGATTAAAAGGTAGTAAAATACTTCATTTTATGTTAGTGTTTGCAAATGAACTCCTTTGAATAAATAATATTTATCATTTAACGTAACATACAGTGTATAAATAAAGGTCCCTGGTAATTGTTTATTGCCAAAATAGCACATTCAAAGTAAATATGCTGAAATATACTTTGTTAGAATTCACTTCACCATTCATATTAAGTATGCATTTTTTGCTTCTCTCAATGAATCCATCTACCTTGCTTAAGAACCTGGATTGTTTCTTTTAACATTTAAAATTATTTAAACATTGTATTTATATAATTTTAATTGTATTTTATATAATTTCTCTGAACCTAACTCAAAGATGTAAAATTCAACTTAAAATAATTAAATCTTTAATATTTTAGTTGTGTGTTGGCTAATGGTAAATCCTACAAACCGACCTCACTCCACAGAATAAATAAATTACTCATCTATAGATTATACACTTATTTAATTAAATAAGTTTTATCATCTGCAATTGACGTCGGTTCTGTTCTTGTTCCCTAATACTGAGAATTTAATGTCTTTATTGAAACTCTCGATGACCGGGATAAGTGACTAGAGTTACATAGCAGTTTGAACTTCAATCATCCCTACCTCTAATTTGCAAGAATAGAAACTCCTCTAAGAATTCTTCACGGATATTTAAAATAATTTATCTTTCAATTCCATTGTGCTGATATTGGTTCACTCTGACTACAAGGATGATTCAAACATGAACGTGTGTGTTTTCTTTTTCAAATTCATTGGATGAATAATTTTAGCAAACTAGTAAACGTACTGTGGATTGTTTATGCAAATACCGATTTTTTGGGATTAATTTATGGAAACAGGAATTAATTTGAAGTCCACTTACTCCGTTGAAAGTCATTAAACTTGATTAAAAATATTATGTATGCCATATTTGCATAAAATCCACAGACTTCTAATAAAAAATTATTCCTCTAATCTTAATTCTAATTTCTTCACTGGTTATATGTACAGGGCGTAAAGCTAATTGTGTTACAGTTAAATATTGACAAAACTAAATGAGATATGAAAATTGTAAATACTTATGAAACCACTATGATTAACATTATGAACTCTAAATTAAAATATGGTCCACTAATGTAATTTGTATTCTTGTTTTACCCCAAGTATGTAATTGTTGAATGAAAATTTTAAGTAACTTGAATACTTTTGTTGAAAAAATGTAGCATGAACAAATTATTAATTTTTGGTTACTGCACAATTACAGAAAACAAAATATGCATGTCTTATTATTTAATTTTAGGGATATTTGAATGTAATGCAATTAACTTTACTCTCTGAAGGTATTTTTTTGCAAAAAAATGAAACATTCTGATGAAGATGAGAGCTTGAAAAATTAGAAATTAATGCTTACTATTATGCATTACTAATGGTTGTGGACAGCATTTGATCCCAGTATATAAATTGTACAGAAGTATAATATTTCAGATAGGTGGTCAGCTATTGTTTCTCAAGAACTTAATATGTATTTACTATTTAGTATTAGAATGCCCCCAAAATATTGTGCATTACAAATTTTCAATTTATCAAGTCTATGAAAACGTAATTTCGGCTATCATAATGCGTTCCGCCATAATTTATGCAAAACAATTTTACATCGTTGCTATGCAAAAAAAGAATAAGATCAAATAAAACGATTAAAGTTGCAGGATATATTATCGAACTCCCCAATATTTCCATAAAAATAAATAATATACATATTCAGTAAACTTTTGTAAATCATAAGAGCAAAAATTATGGGAGATCTTAATTACTCAGTTTACTCTTGAAAACACGGTTGTAACAAAATTAACATTGCACCCTATACATTTGCCATCACTGTCTACACTGAACCATCCCAGCTCTACTTAACACGATTACATGTACATTCGATTCAAGTTATCTTATCACTTATATTTTTCAACCGTGTTCTAAAAAAATCTGTTCGTGGAATTCCATCTTTTCCGCCTTCCGTTACATCGAGGGTAAATCATTCAAAGAAGACGTTTCTCGCGGAGGCCATGTTGTTTCCCGTCGTTCCCTCAGAGAACGAGTCTACGGATGCCACACTCGCAGCAGAATTTTGCGGTTTTCGGAAACTTAGAGCCGCACTCGTGGCAGAATTTCGACATTTTAAACTTGGCCGACGTCGAGATCCCGTCACCATCGCTTCTGTCACGATTCTGTCTTGAAGGGTCCTCGTCGAGACGTCCTCCCACGTCGTTGGTGCTGCGTCCGTGGTGCAAATATTTGCGATTTAAACTGGGAGGAAGAAATTGAACGGGATTTTAGGCATGTAGGAGATTGCATTGGTGTCGGGGAATGTAAGAGATAAGCGTGATCCACGTCACACGTTCAGAAATTGATAGAAATCTATGCTCACCATTCATGATGGTTTTCCATACAGTTCGAAATTTCAACACAACATTTAGTAAACTAATCCTTCTAACTCAACAAATAAACTCAAGTCATTTGGACCAATTTTAAAAGAGTTGTTTTGTTTTAAAGGGTGTACGAATACTTTTTTTACCCAATGCATATTTCCCGATTTTTTATCCTCCAGTATCAGAATGTTATTTATAAAGGAGAACAAATTTTAAAACTGTTCCCAAAAACGTTCATGTAAACACAACAATATTTTGTGCTTAAGAAATAAACAAGAATATTATCTATCTTGTTAAAACTTCCTTCAAATATACACATAACAGCATTTCATAATTTTAATACGTTTGAATTAATTAGTCTTGTCGTAATCATGTTCACTGATTTAATTGAATATTTTTTGTTAGTGTAAAGGCCAGTGTGGCGGTGTAATGTGTGTGGTAAAGGTAGTGTAAAGGCAAGTGGAAGTGTAAAGGCCAAGCTACAGCCACAATTTTGTTCATTATCATTGAACCCAACCCCGCTAAATAGGTTGATTGCAATCAATCCAAAACATTAACAAAAACTTAGATTACATATTAACCTGCTATAAGCGGAGTCACCGCTGAATTTGCCGTGATCCTGCCTCTTGTGACTTTCCGGCGACGAAAGTTCCTCGTCACTGATCTGATCGTGCCGCTGTCTTCCGTGAACAGAGCTAGACATGGACAGGGAGTCGTTTTTTAGGAGGGATTTCAGGGACGTGAAGGAATCGTTCTCGTCCTCAAACGAGGTCATCAACTCGTCGAACACCGAGTTCGATCGTTTGATGTCCACGTCCGAGGACACGATGGAGCTCAAGCTGAGGTTGCTACTCGAAAGATTCGTGTAATTATTGTTCCTATTGTTCAAGCTGTTATTCAAGGAACTCTGAGAATCATTGTGCCTATTGGACGATTTCTTTGGCTCGTTGGAGCTGTTCGAGTTCTTTTTATCGAGGCTGGTTTTCGGAGCAGAGGAAGCTCGAACTGAGAAAGACCGATTGACGGTTGGTCGGACGACCTTGGGCGAAACTTTATCAAGGATCTTACGAGCCCTTTCAGAACTGGCAACGAAACTTCTGCTACCACGAGCAACGCCCTCTAAGACATTTCCGCCCAGTGCTTTCGATTTGTCGATGATCACCCGTCTGCCTAATTCTCTGGCCGGTGACTTCTTCTCGGTGTCCGATTTGGATCCTTTAACATCGTTTATGAAGACCTCTCGGTATAACGAGTTCGTTTCGGTCGAATCGCTCGAGAAGTCTGACATCAGGTCGTCGAATTCCGAGGGTGGAGCTATTAGGGAAGATCGTTTCGAGGGATTCGAGGGAGATTGATAAGGGTATTTCACGAATGCTGAGGAGTGAGAGAGAGGAAACGAGGTTTCGCGGTTTTCGCCGAGCGGATTGTCCGTCACAGATTGCTCGCTGGCGTCCGACAGCAGGTCGTTCATCTGCTGCTCTGCTAGTAAGAAAGGATTGTAATCCTTCCCGCTGAAAGCAGGTAGAAAATTCTGTGTGATAACGTGTTTTCAGATAAACGACATTTTGTTGGAGTATGTAGCTGGGACTAAACGTTTTTCGACTAATACTGATCTACTGGAAAGAACTTTAACGTCTATTTTGTTATTCATCGTTTAATAATAGTTACTTTAGTAAATGTGCATTTTGAACGTTGTGTTGTTACAACACATTTAATACCGATATTGGCTCCTTTACCAACAATTTTTAAGCAAATTCTTTTGTTTTGTACATAATGTATAATTCTGTCGATTACTTGTTAACAATGACTTGACAGAAGATTTCGATTTTTTAAATCTTTTTAACCTGTAGATTGAAATTAAAATCACGCGACATAATACCTATCGCAGAATTTTTGTTATTACGCATTAATTAACGTAATATGATTTGGATCCTATAGTCTTTGTATGAACAACTACGGTTAAAAAATATTTGTTCACTCATAATGTTCCCAGATTACTTTTTTTGTTTATTGTTCTGTGATAAGTATTAACATCAACTCATACATTTCTACTAAAAAGATTCTCGTTCTATATCTCCGAAAAGAAAATGATTATTAATTTCTGAACAGTAGTGTATCTGCATTCTGAAAGTCTGGTTAATTAAACATTTGTATAAAAGTTACAATATAAAATTCTATAAATATAACTTAGAAACCAACAAAACGTCTTCAGTCTTAGAACACTGGTGCTGTATGTGCCTTAAAATCTTATTTACACTCAAGACTATTCTAACATTTCTCTCTGAATAAAGTGCCTGTTCCAAACATCCTGTGTCGTGGGGAACGAAAAGAGGCGGTTAAAGCGGCGGTGTTTATAAAAGGAAATTAAGAAACTTTGATCTTTTCTTCATGCTATTATACAATGACCGTCAATAAAATTCCAACATTGAATAACAGTCCAACTTTTCTTACATTGTTCGACGAAAATGTGACAGCCTTTTATACTAGAAGACGAACCATAAGCGTCCACGGTGAACCCGTGAACGGATAACGATATGTTCACAGAAAATCGGTCAAGCCTTTCAGCCTTGGGCACACATGCAAAGCATGTTCTTTAACCGAGTCTCCAATGTAAATCTTTACACAATGTGAAGGGTAAATTCACGTGGATGGGTTCTATCGTACGCATGCGATGTAGCAGACATCGAGGAACGTGATGAGACTAAATAACCATTGAAGTCATATAGAATACAAGGTTTGATAAAAAAATTCGGGGAATTTATGTATAAATCATTTATTATTAATCTTAGCAATAATTACATAGGATCACCTTGAAAGTAATCTTCTTCTGTCCTTATGTACCTTTGAAATCTTTTTTCCACTCTTCGAAAAGTGTGTGGTAAACGGACTGCGGTATCAAATCTAACTTTTCTTGCGATTTCTCAATTATTGCTTCACGCATGACGAAACTTTATGCTTTTAGCATCCATTTAAGGCGAGAAAAGAAGATGAAAATTTCTTCAAATTAATCGCAATTGTGAACGAAATATGGGTCTATTATTACGACGCGGAGACAAAGCAGCAATCGAGTTAGAAGGTGAAGAATGGTGAACCACGTTCGAAGAAAGCATGTAAGTGTCGATGAAATTGTGAAATGCACTGGCTGGATTACTGTTTCATCTCTGCATCGTAAGCATGGACCTATGTTTCATTCTCAATTACGCTTAATTTTAAGAAATTTTCATCTTCTTTCCTTGCCTTAAACGGGTGCTAAAAGTACGACGTTTCGCCAACGCGAGAGACAATAATTAAGAAATTGCAGGACGAGCCTAGATTTAGCGTTCGCTTACTATGGCGCTTTCGAAAACTGGAAAAATAGATTTCAAAGGTATAAAAAAGTAGAAAGAGAGCACATACTATGAATGTGATCCTGTGCATTTATTGTTGTAAGAAAATGTATAATAAATGATTTATACATAAAGTCCCCGAACTTTTTCATCAGATCTTGTGTACGAAATCCTAAAAACGTGCAGATTTGTATGCGAATGCAGTAAAACTTGCGATGATATCGAGAAGGACATGATTCAATGCATAAAATAAATAGGTTGGATAATAATAGGATGATTCTTTAGGGCTCGAATAACTGATACTTCCATGATGCCTGGTTTCAAGCTCTCGCAGGCCAAATGAAACGATCCGAAAATATGATTTCACGAGACACCAGAATGTCTATACATATTGGCGATTCGTTCAACCACCTGGAACTTACGTTCTACTGCTAAGTACAAGATTAAAATCCGGTCGTCTGCGCACGTAATTGCTCCATACGGGATGTAATGGCAGTGTTAAGTTCCTACAATATTTTACGTGTGTTAGGAACTCTACGTAGAGTGCGGAAACGATGTTCTTGAATGTGCGGTCAAACGAATGACAAGATTGAAACCTGAATCGTTCATTCTCATTTAACGTTTGTGTCTCTGAATCTACTTCGAATGGTGGGAAATTTATCACAACGGAATTTGGAGAATTGCTTATTCGATAATAACGAGTACCGTCGTTCCTGAAGTACAAACTTTATTTTTCAGAGATTAATCCTTCCTTCGTAAAGAATATACGGTGCAACTAAGGAAATGTAATCTGGTGGGAAATGTAATAGATACAACACTTACTGATAAGAGTTTTTAAAAGTGTCCGTGAAAAGAAAATAAAAATTTATTAGTCTGCTTGAGCTGTCGTTTCGCTGCGTTTTGGGTGTTTCCATGAATTTATGAAATCCATTGATCATGAAACAATAATTCAAACATCAACATTTACATCACGTGTAGTGAATTTGGATAGGCAGACATAAAACTAAAACAATCTCAACTATTATTAACTTTACAAAAAATATATATGTATATGTATTTAAAGTTGCTAGAAATGTACTTTAGGAACGATTATATTCAAATTTTTTCGTAGGATCCGCGGTTTATGAGATACGAATGAAATAATTATTAAACAATATCGTAATTGTTTAATAATTAAAATCGACTTTGTTTACTTAGTAAAATTCGAAGATTCTCGGGAAACTTTAAACGAACTGTTTAGAAGCAGTAGTAGCAATTCATTTTCGAATAAGAAAAATGAGCATCATCCTTTATACTAAATTTTTGTGCATCTTTTCCATCAGAAATTAACTAGTACTTAATTGAGATTACGAGATTATAAGTATTGATTCAAAGTCAACTTTCGACCCATTCCTACCTGCGATTGAATAAGGACGAGTTACTGGGAACAGGAGGAAGGATACGATATTTCGGATTTCTTTTAAGAAACCTGCTCGCCCCCTGATACGGTGGATCGAGATTAATCAAACGATTCTTCGATGCCTTCGAGGCCTTCTCCCAGTAAGTCTGAGTGTTAATCGTCTCCGTTTCACTGTAATTTTTCTTAACCACAACTGTAGACTCTTTGATTTTCGGCAATATTCTGAATCTAATGCTTTTATTCCTAGTGCCGATCTCCTCGATCGTTTCCACCTCGACTGTTTCCACCTGCTTACCATCCGCAAGTTCCACGCCATCGATCGACGATAAACTATTATTACTATCATTCATCTCATTCAAATTTTCCAGAATTCTCCTCGCTGTTTCCGTCGCTTTCGAAAAACGCGACCTCAGAGCAGACTTCGACGATTTCTTTACTTTCACGCAAGACTCCGATAAAATTATCGATTGTAAATTTCGGACGTCGATCAGATCGTTCTTAGTGGAAGCTTCGAAATTGCATCCAGAGTTTCGTGTGTTATGTTCGTTGACAGAGTCCTCGCTATCATAATCGAAGTCTTTAATCAGCGAATTCTTGTAAATCTCCTGCATATCTTCGTCCGCCATTTTGTTCGTATCAATCGTCGGTTTATTATCTACATCAATGCTATCGGTGAAAATATATTCTTTGGAATTGTCGGTAATTTCTTTCGAATTCGATTTAGATTGATCCTCCAGGGAGTTGTGATCAATTTCTCGAAAATCTGCAGCGACGCGCGTCTGCGAAGACACGTCTTCAATTTTTGGAGATCCACTCAGGTTTCTATTTCTTAAAACATCATCATCAAAAGGTTCTTCGGTCTGACTAGCCATTTCTTTTCTAATAATTCTTTCAAATTTTTCTTCCTCTTCTTTTTTCGCCATTGGAGCTTCAACGTTCATATAGTGATTGCTTCCGGAATTATTTTGTCGTTCTGTCATTGCCTTAGTATCGATTTTCTCCAATTTTTCAAGTTTATCATGAATCGATGATGGACGATTGGAATTGTCCACTTCAACGCGATATAATAGTTCTGACCCAGTTTCTTTATTTATAGCCATTTTCCATTCGTTTACAGCAGGGGAACTTGACTTTTCCTTGAGGCTTTCGAATTCTTCACGTTTCGAGTAACAATTTCTGGGATTCTCGAACGGTGTGCTCGATCTACTTGGACGTAACACATCTTTCATGAGGACTGGTTCGGCTTCTATATCGATCAACTTCGCTTCAGTATCGCTGAAGTTCAAGGTATCTTCATACTTCGCGGAGAATTCCAAACTATGAAAATCTGTACATGAAGAAAAAGACTGAACTATATTATTTAAATTAAAATTGGAATGCTCATTCCCTTCTCCGGTTTCATTTTCTTTGTCGCATAAGTGTGTCTCAGACACTTCAATATCAACAGCTAGATCATTCTGATCGATTATTGGCTCATACAATCCTTTGTAATGTTCAAACTGATCAGAAACACCTTCAGTTTGTAATTTTTCCTCAGAACAGCTCGCCACATTTTCTTCTACGTTTTCTTCTTTCACCTCGTCCATTTTGTTTCCGGAATCATCGTATTCCTTAATATTTGTGTTAGTTCCATCGAAAATATTATTCGCCGAATGTACAACGTTATCGTTATCAGTAGAGTTTCCTATGCCTTCTTCATCTGCTTGAGGAAACTGTGGGCAAACCGGGGTCTTCAACCGCTTCCTCTCCAAAATCTTATTCCTCGACGATTTAAAATGTACCAAAGGCGATTCCACTCCTGTCTCTTTCGAGTCCAACGTTTGTTTCTCAAATTCCAAATCGTCGAATCCGTTTCTACTCGTAGAAACCTTCGAAGCTCGTTCATCGGTTCTGTCTTTTTTCAAACTTCGAGGATCCCGATTAAGGGAAAACGAATGCAATCTGTGTACCTTCTCCAAATCTCCCAAACAAAATTCCACCCGTGGACTGTTCCGCACCGGCTTCCGTTTGCACTGATTCGTCACCTGTATGTCATCAGTCTCCTCAAACGACTCTTTGAACGAGTAGGTTCGGTTCAACCTCGGAGTAACCATGGGCCAATTAACGATACTTCCGCTTCTCGAGCTCAGCCCATAGGCATCCGTAGTTTGGCAATTCAAGCCGACATCCAATTGTCTTTCGATTAAAGTAGCATTTGTAATATGCCCGTCCTTTTGATCAGATCTGCAAGAATTCGAAACTTTATTATTTCTCGAGTTGTTCGCATTCGAATGATCCTTCTCCTGGCTGATCCGTCTCCATGTGGTCAGCTCGTTGCCCGTATAAATATTGCACGGTCTCACGGTCATCCCTGTCACGTCGACGTTAATAAAGACGTCGTTTAATCTCGGGTGGCCCTGACTCCTCGCAGAAACGATATTCGATTTCTGCGACCGAGCGGACAGCAACGGTTGATTCTTTTCCTCCGGCTTGCCCCGACAGCACGTTGACTGGCCTCGCTTGCTGACTATCTTCTGAGCCTGTCGTTTGCAACTCGGCGGTGAAACGGTATTGCACTCTTCGAGACATTGTTTCTTATGCCTTAGAGGCGGTACAGGTAGGAGGGTTCTTTTATTAGGGGGCGCAGGTCGAAAGGTAACTGGTCCGGACTCTTCTTCTGGTGGCCTGAGGATGAGGAAAACAGGATCAAGGATGTATGGGTTGACATCTGGAGAGGATCGTCGGGCGTTTTTAAAACTGATCGTGAATAAACGCGTGATAATGTAATCAAACATTTCGAAGCAAATGATTTGCTTTTGTTGCTTTTGGTTTTAATGTTTGTCGAGCGGAAACAACCTTGTCCCTTTTCTTTCTCCTCGTGCGCACTAGCCATAGGTAAACTAAGTTCTACGGATATCTTACGGTATACACGTTTAGATTAGAAACAGGAGCGATTCTCACCAGTTCGTACGGTCGACTGGTCGGGACTTCATAGGACCTATGGGACTGGATGTGTCTTTCGATTGTCCAGAACGCCTTCTGCAACGATCAGAATTTCAATGGTATGAATAGCAAAAAGAGTATATTGATAATTTCATAAAATAACGCGGTAATTCATTGCTGAACTGAAGGATTAGTTATTACTAGACTGCGGAACTTTATGCAAAATAACTTTTTGCGAAGTGATTTGTAAAGACAGATGTGAAGATATGATTTTCTTTCTCGTCTTAAGGATTTTATTATAACTAAAATAAGACAGAACATGCATTAGTTCTGATGTTAATTTTACCATTTTTGATATTTCACATAGTCGTATATATGCTATAAATGCATATAATCCGCAGTCTAGTTATTACTAGACTGTAGGCGTTTATACAAATTCACAGTTTTAGGGGTTATGTTTCGGGAAAGTATGTCAACAATGAACATATGTAATGATGGTCTTTCATAATAAGTTGGAGCGTCATATAGATACACGCACAAGGTGTTTTTGAATGGTGGCTTAAAACCTTGCATGTGGAGATATTTATAAAATATCTCGAGATTAAATAATTGGAACGTTATGGTTATTAAGATCGTTGAATTTGTTTTCTATACAGAAACAAAAAATGGGAATCCATTTCAAAAGATACCAATGACTTTGAAAACTTTTAACAAACTGACCGTGAGAACATTTTTAACTACCTCCTGAGGAGTTTTTTCAACATAGTATATCAACAAATATACAGGGTGTCCCAAAATAGCTTCGACTCCCGGAAATGAGGAGTTCCCGGGACGATTTTAAACAACTTTTTGCTTAGCAAAAATGTTATCCGAGGCTTTGTTAACGTGATATTAACGAAAAACCTCGACCAATCAGCCCAGAAACTCCTCCTTTCCGGGAGTCGATGTTATTTTACGACACGCTGTACATACAAAAATGATCAGACCGTATGAATCAATGAACAGAGGTAATTAAAATTAGATATAAGAACATACGTGATAGTCGGCTTGTGTTTCATTGGACTGACGTTGTTTTTGTTGCAGTTTGGCGCGGATACGCTCTCCTTTACCCGACTCACAGACTGTGTCGGTGAGGTCTTGTTGTTTGAACTGAGATTAGTTGCTGAATTAGGGGAATATTTCTCGCGAGTGATCTGTCGGCGATTCTTCAAGGATGGTGCCCGATATTTCATCCGCGCTTCAAGACGTTCCTTCGCGATGTTTGTCGCGGGGCTAACCGGTACCCGCGTGATTCTGTCCTTGCACCACGCCACGTGTCTGTCGTACGCCTTGATGCCGAAATGTCGGTTGCACGTGGGACAGACACCCTGTTCGTTTGCGCGGGTCGGCGCGCTCGACGACAGCACTGTCGTGCCTTGCTTCTGCATCGTGCCATCCACCTGAAATTTCATTAGACTATGAATTACTATTTATATGGTATAATTTGACATTTTTCAAAAGAATCTTATTAGGCGTACCAACAAGCAAGCCACTATAATTTCAATAAAAGTTGTATTCCACATTATCTTAACGATCTTATGTTTCAGTGAAATGGTGTGAGGTGGTGAGGGTGGAACAACATTTCAAACACGTTTCGTTTATGGGAAGCATAAGCTGAAGATTTTCCAAGTAGTACATACAAGGTTTGATCAAAGAGTTCGGGGACATTATGTAAAAATCATTTATTATTAATCGTAACAATAATTACATCAGATCACCTTCAAAGTAATCTCCTTCTGCTCTATATACCTTTGAAATCTTGTTTTTTCAGTTTTTGAAAGTGGCGAGTAAGTAGACGCCGAAATCTAGTCCAGCTTCTCCTGCGATTTCTTGACTTTCGGTTGTTACATTCAATCGAAATGATCCAAAATTTGACTTTGCAGTAAAATATGTTTCTGAAGTGAAAGTGGTACTGTTGGGGTCATGTAGTAGTTATCTCAGGTATCCCAAAAAAAAGTCTTTTTGGATTTTTTTAAACACGATGATGCTTTAAGTGTTAATGTTTTACAAAAAAAATATATTTTATAATGATCAAACTTTATTTCAGAACTTTTGCGAGTTAATTTAACAGATAGATTTTAAATAGCAGCTGATTGAAAATTGGTTTTTGTCAAAAAATAGATGTGACAACCGAGGGTTAATTATTGTCTCTCCCGTGATAATAATTATGAAATCACAGGAGAAGTTAAATTTGATTTCTACGTCCGCTTATCACAACGCTTTCGAAAACTGAAAATAAAGATTTCAAAAGTACATAAGGATTAAAAATATTAAAAAGAAGATTACCTTCATGGTGATCCTATGGAATTATTGTTAAGATTAATAATAAATTATTTATAAATCAAATTCGCGAACTTTTTAATCGTAGTGGTTTACTTTTGGATACTTGAATTTATGTGTTTAATAACTGAATCTCTATCTTCTATAACCCAAGAAAAAGCCAAATTTATGACCTGCAGTGCATATTATAAATTCATAAACATCTAAGATTGACTATCTAATTAATTTAAATTAGATGGCAAACCGTGATATGTGCGATTCTCTCAATTTTTTTACAGTATATCAGATTTAAAGTTTGTTCAGCTGTGAAAGATTAAAATATTCTTAAAAGTACATGGAAGTGCCACCTTTTTTTCTAAATCACCTAGCACAGAGGTGTTACATTTTGCGAACTTCTAAATTTCATCTAGACACACATGGAAGAACACATGTATCTCAATTTTTACGAAAGTTGGACATATCACATTTTGCCACCTGATCACAGAACTGATCGTTTTTTCAGAAAAATTGTTAACCATATTTCTACGAACATTAATTTATATACACCGTGAATACCGTGAGAATAAAGTGCGTGGTATAAGAGCATTCATCTCACGCGCGAACGCACTTGCATCATTCGTGATGCATCTGGGTTAATCTACGTTCTACCTGCAATTCTCACCACGCGTTATTCTCTGCATGCTTTCTGTTTCAATGTAACTCTCTAACTTTAGATTTTTCAATTATTTCAATTACGGGATACTTGTTGCGTCGACGTAAATGATTGTAGTTTTTGCTAATCACATTAGGTAAAGATCTATGGGAACGAAATAATAATAGACTATCAATATTTATTACACGTACAAATCCTCTAGCGTTCAATAAATTTTTTAAATTAAGTCTTTTTGTTATGAAGTTATTAAGTGTATCAATTCTAACTGTATTTTCCCCATAAATTTAGTGTTTATTCCAAATACAGTAAGGTAATCAATTCTATCATATAGAATATTCCTAATTATTTTTTACTTCCCCAGCAATTTTTTGCAGGTAACAAAGCAGGAATATATTTTGAATTTGAATTCTCTTAACAGTCTATTAAATGAAATAGTGAATTATTTACTACTACATCTAATACACATAAAGAACATTTAATTCTACAGTTTCCATTTGCTATAATTTGTAGAATGAACTTCTTCTTAATTGTACCGTGAATGGTTTACTCACTATAAAATAATGTTATTAACGATAACAATATAACGAGGTAATGAACTAAACGCTATCATAATCAAAAGCATTAATTGTAAAAATATGATTTTGCATAAACGTCCGCAGTTTAACTCTTTGCGGAATTATATCGAGATGGACTCTGGTATTTTAGTGATGTACATCGTATTTGCTCAAAAAACAACCGTATCGTTCATAAATACTATCTTAATACTTCTTAAACATGCCAAATATATTATTCGATTAAAATATCGAAATATAAGTAGGTACAGTAAATTACATTTATGCAAGTGGTTCAGTAGAAAATCCAGAACAATCTGGACCGCAAAGGGTGTGATGATCCTAAAGATGATGAGTCAGAATGATCTTAATGATGATCCTAATTACCAGGATACGCGACACAATAATGAGACCCAAACCGCAAACCAACCCCTATCTACACCACTCTGTGATTTACTACCTGACTATACGGCACAGGTGCTGCTAACGACTATCGATAAGTTATCAATAATTTACTGATAGTAGACATAACGATAGTATCATTAAACTATCAATAATCCGAATATAATGTAACATGTAATAAAGTTATCACTCAGATCTAATTTGATCTTATTCAAACTTATTACAGAAAGCATATCAGTGTATTTCGATGGTAGTTCGTTGTATTTGTCTCAACAACCACTGTCACGATATAAATAAAAAAATACAGGGTTCCTTTACTATATATTAATCCTTCGTTAGATATTCCACTGTTTCCAGTTAAACGACACACCCTGTATGTAACAGAATAGAATCATTTCCTAGGAGAAAAACGTGTCAAATTGACACAGGGGACTGATGAGGGTTAATACCCTATATTTCAATAAGGGTATCGTTAGCAGCACCTCGAACTACACGGTGACCATCGAAACTTACGATTTCGTTGCGAGCAGCCCGGATCTGTCGTAGGAAGTCATCGTGCGTCTGTTTCCAAGTAGACGTAGACTTGTTGCCGGTCCTGTCGTCCACCGTGTACCGTCTTTTCTCCAGTCGCGGCACGAACTCAGCCAGCTCGGTCCCTTGGATCCTCTGTTTCGAGGAGTCGAACGGCTTCCTCTTCTTATTGGCGGCTTGTTCGCATATCCTGGTGTGCTTCTCCAACGACTGCGGCATAAAAGTCCGTGCGCAGATCGCGCACGGCAGAAGGATGGGCGGCACATCTGTGTCCATTTACCAAGAATTAGTCGACTGATGCTGTTCCTGTTTCCCTCCTGTTTCAGGAGACGCGTTCGTGGATCGGGCAGAATGAGTCAGAATGATCTTAACGACACTCGCATCGATCGTATACGTCAGTGAACCGATATCAATGCGCTATTTAAAGAAGACGCTTTTGATCCTCTTGTAGGGATTAGACTATCCATCCCAAGAGCGTACCACGTGAATAGCTACAATCGAATTGTCTGACTCTGACTCAGCCTGCGTAACTTTCGCGATGGATAATTGATAATACACCATTTAACGCGTCGAGAGATGGGTCTCGTAGGCACACACTTTGTAAAATTAGACAGTTATTATGCACTGCACTTGGTACCGGAAAGAAGCTTACCAGCGGTACTTCGATGCAAGATATTAGTTTTGAGTGGGCGACAGAATGAAATTTTAGAACCGAGGATTATTACAACAAACCTTCTATCCCTAGATGCACAACCGTTAAGTACCTTCTTGGGATCTATACTTTGAGCTATGATTCATTAAAAAGTCACGTCTCCATTTCTGGAAGTTCTTTTATATTGTCAACCTCGTCTCAAAATACAAACGCGATTCGAGTCACTTTGTATCAGGTGTTAATTCGTCGAAGATTCACCAAACTAGCTTTAATTATCACACACTATTCGAATCTGCGTTCCAACGTGAATCGTCACAGAGAGTAATTAAACGAAAGAAAATGATCGCAACAGAATCCGAAGATGAAGATCAACAAGAGTGAATAACGAAACCGCGCACAGCTTCCTGGGATCAACGATCAACGGGATCGGCAAATATGCAAGTGTATCGATCGAGTCGCAGCAGCCGGTTCACGACAAGGCGATAATTAATCGGGGCTCGTTGCGAGCGCGCGGATCGCGGACACCTGCGTAGTTCTCCTATTGAACGACGTCCACGACGAGGAGGACGAAGACGAGGTGTCGCCCCCGCGGGACTGGCTCTCGCCTACGGAGGGACAAGCTTCCATTTTAGGTATTATGAGTTACCGTTCGAGCATTGTAACTGTTGCACGCGTGGAAGAGATCCGCCGAGCGCGTGCTCCCGTACCCGTTCGATTATTCCTTCCGTCCTCGGTTTTCCGCGGATGGTGTGCCTACGGGCACGATGTGACACGCCTTTTCGGAGTGTCACCTTCACGGTTGGATTCGTAATCCAGTCGCAAAGGATGGGTAGAGTTTCGTTCGCGAGATAGGTGACGAATCGGAACAGAAACGGATAAACAATACACGATCTGTCCCAAGAATGACCGAACTTTTTCAACATAGTAAATGTTGAAAGTGTAGACAATGTTGTGGAGACATACACTCTTGATTGATTTTCTGTCAAAGGTTTATGGCATTTGGGTCGTTAGAAACCGAGTTACAGCACTCAACGTGATAGTAGCTTTTTTACAGATAGATATTCCTCAAGTTATGACCCCCTCGACTTACGAGATTTCGCACTTATGACCATAAAAAAATAACTTTTTCTGTGATCAGCAAAATTGAGATTTTTAATTTAAGGGGCTATGCTAGTGTGATGGCTATATAATAAGGCAATTTTTGGGGAATTTTTTAAAGAAAAACTATTCAACATATCAATTTGAATAATATACATGTAGGGACACCCTGTATATCACAAATCTATGTATCACAATCCTACAGTAATCTGTTCTGCTCTGCGCAAAGTCGGTAAGGCGCCATATTTGCATTTCGTCCACTCGTGATTTGACTGGTACGCTTGATACTGGCATTTCATATTTTGATTAGTCACTAATTAAAACGGGTTTATGTAGTACACTAACTTGTGAATATTTGGAAAAGTTTGTACCGCCCGGAAATGCAATGTTCGTTTATTTTTACAACTCCATGACATTCTTTAGGGATTCGTTTTAATGGGTCGAACGGTGAACACTGACTATTATTTGGACGTTGTGAAATACCTAGCATAAGAAACTGTGATCACTTATGTAATATTTACAACGATTTCCTTTCCTACTCAAAATGCAATGTAAAAAGCATATCGGTGTAAAACAAGTTTTTCCTTTCGTCGAACTATTAATGTTTCCTCGGATCTAAGGTCGTGAGAATATATGTATAGCTGGTAACGCAACGTGTATGAAAGTATGAAGCAAATGAGCGGTTAACGAAGGCTGCACGATAGAAAATAACTCCAGGACTCGTTTTCATTACCAAATGAAGAAGTCGGTATAACGCTGGTGTAACGCCTGAAGGAATTTGAGTATTACAATACTTCAGACTTTCTAAAATAATTGAAACAATAATAGCGACAAATATTTTAAAGTACTCCTAATAGGTTTGGATAGATTTAGTGTAGTATTTTATATTCACAAAGTGTACTAGATACTTTAAACAATGTATCATTTACCTTGATATTGGTACTATAAGCCTTGATATTCTAACCTTCTTGATATTCTTCGTATAAAAAAAGAGTATTAAGAGAAATTAATTAAAATTAAGTATAAGGGACACTTTCTGAACACGCGTACCAAAACGTCCGAATGATAATGAGATTAATGGAATGTTAATAAATTCTCGAATAAGCTATCAGATTCCTCACAATTTCCAAAGAAACGACAGAGAACTAATTCAGGCCGCTTTATATTTATACCTTCTTAAAATATATTTCTAAACGATTCTTGTTACTAAAGAGTGTGGTAACTCTAGAAGAAAATACAAGAGAATATATCAATTTGCATAAACATCCGCAGTCTAGTTAGAATACAATTAATATAGTTATTCACAAAATATCTGAATATTCAACTATGCTGCGAAAATTCTCCACTGTAAACGGTCCTACAGTTATAAAAGAATATTATAATTCCAAAAGAAACATATACAAGAAACCCGTTCTTAAGAGGAAATACTTCAAAGGCAAACACAACTGTTAATTAACAATGGACACATTGTAGTTTGGTATTAGTAATTCATTAATGGGTTAATAAACAAGAAATAGAAGCGTCAAATTGGGCAAAAAAGGGTACACTTTTATGTGACCGATGAAAGAATCGACAGAGGGGAAGAAAATTCAATCGAGCCTTCGATTTCATGTTCGAGAACGGAGATCTCACCTGGTTCGGAATATTCCTCGACTTCGACTACTATTTTTGATTCGACAGGTTGCACTTTCGATGGATAATGATCGTAAGGAGGCCCTTGGTTCGCCCCTGCGACGGTTTTCCTCGAAACGCAGCAGAACATCGAACGAACAGCATGGAAAGACACTGACTGAACTGCACCATAATCACCAAGCTGTTCTTGTACGCAACGTCCACGCAGTCTCTTTCTCCTCTTATAAAAGAGACTTATTTTAGGTGTCACTGCGAGAGCATCAGGAGAGGTAGCTCCTTCCTGCACGGAGCAACAGTGCCGAGCGGACGTTGAATATTGCGATGAAACAAATGAAACTACTGAATGAGGACAAGACTTCTGATGATTTCAAATCCTAAAACATAATTGTTCCTAATATTTCTATCGATTTATTGTCTATGAACACTGTACCGTTATGTATGATTTTATAGTACAGATTTGTGACTGAAGTTGTCAGCTGCAATTCAAAATAAATGAATTCCATTGAAGTAACCACAAGCAAATGAATTTCTTTTAAAAATAACCTTTTTTAAAGTCGTAACAATAGCCGACAATGTATGAATTCCTCCGAAAGGATTAACCAAGCTTCAATAAGCACAAGGTTTTCTAAGAAATTGTTCGGTTGCAGCGAAATATCGATTCCACTCAAGCTCATGTCCCTGTTTCTTTTACGAGTTCCGCTTCCGGTACATGTTGCAGTCACTGGCAAGCCACGCGACGTGGATTACGATTAAATATAGTGATAAGATCGATAGTTGAAAGAATATATAAATGATAGAAAGTAACACGTGTAACTAAGTCAATATTTAAATATATTCGATGGCTATCTAATTGATATTTTATAATTGTACAATAGTATTAATTAGACTACGGATGTTTATGCAAGGTTTAATTTTTCCGGTGTTAAAGAGAAATTTTCTTAAATTCAAGAAGAGTTTTGTTGAACTCAAGAAACCTTCAAATTTTATGAAATATTATTGTAATACTTACTGTATACATAATTTTACTTTGTTATACACATACGTCATAAATTCATAAAATCCCCAATCTAGGAATAATTACACGTCAATATCACTTTATGGTAGACAGAATAATTGACAGCAAAATTAAACTTTAGTTTTTATTTATGCGCGACGGGATTCACCTGAGATTTATAGTATCATAAAATAACTTTTAGTATCAAACAAAAAGTTCGCTCATATATATATATAACTTAACAATCAAAGATATGAAATAAAATGTTTGTAATACACTGTTCAAAAAAATAAATAAAAACTATACTATATTTATATCAAACTGTAGTTTCACTATTACTAACACAGCAATATGAAATTGTTTTTTTCTATAGAAACGAGCATAATACGTTCGATCGTATTTGCGACGGAACGTCATGTCGATAATCGATTCACCGATTAACCATTAAATTGTGTGCACTTTAAAACGTCTAACCTTACCTCCTGTCACCTGTTCGGTCTCTTTCTCAAGGAACGTTGATCAACGAAACCGGATAGACGGGATAGATTAGCTCGGACCCATCGCTGGCTCGTCTCTGTTCCACTCGAGCGTCCGAATAACACTCGTGTCCGCGTGGTTCTCGGTATATATTATTAGAAAACGGTCCCGGCCGCGAAACTGGAACCGGACGGAAGTGCAGTGCAAGAAAAAGCCCTCGCCGGCAATCGTTAGGATCCCTCGACACGTTATTTATGGCAGACAAACGACCGCGGTTCTCGTAAATACTAGCGGAGACAATTTTTCGTGTGCAAACTTACCCTCGACCTCCGCCATGTTAGTTGTTAGGGGAAACAATGAGCGTCATGGTAACCAGTGACAGGTTATCTGACTGTTAGAGCACGTAGATGTTCGATCAAATGA